GGTTTGATTCCCAGTCAGAGTGTGTAGGAAAGGCAACCAATCAATGTTTCTCTTTCATATCAGTGTTTCTCTCCCCGCCCCTCTCTCCCTTCCCCTCTCTCTAAAATAAATAAAATCTTTTAATAAAATATGCATCACAGATTATGAAGTAATATGCAAAATTCCACATAAATTTTTGATGTAGAACAAAATATTTCAGAGAAATTTCCTACACATAAAAGGTCTATAACCTCAGACTGCCCTGCCCCTCTAACTGATTTGAGGCCTCTTTCCTCTGTGTTCAGCTTCCAATATTGGTGAATATTAGTGAATGTTATGTGAGTAGAAATTTTTGAGAAGCATCATTCTCTGGGGGAACATTTAAATCCTTAGCCTGGTCTTCAAGACCTTCCATGACGGGACCCTCTGCCCCAGAAGCTTCACTCTACATCATTCTACACACTCTCTGTTCTCCACACAACAGCTAGGCACAGCTCCCCAAGCTATAAACACGCCAAGCTGGTTCATGCCTTTGTGATTTTTCCACCAGCTGCTCCCTCTGCCCAGAATGCCCCTGCCCACACACCCGTCTTGCAAACGCCTACTCATCCTTCAAGACCCAGCTCTGAGGGCTCCTGTTCTGTGAAGCCATCCCAGCAGGCCTCAGCAGAATGAGTCAGTTCCTCCCATGCACCACTTTATGGTGTCTGCGTCCCTCTCCTTGTGCGGAGATTTCTTTATTTCACTTTTTTCTCTAATTCGACTATGAGAACTTGAAAGGAAGAGATTGCATCATTCACCTCTGTACCCCTAGCCCTAAGCATTGCATCTGGCATGGTAAGTATTTATAAATATTTTCTATGAAGGAGCAAGTGAACAAAACTGACTTTGACTCCTATCTTCTCTTTTAGTTTTAGAGTCAAGATAGGGAGACTGGCATTTTCTTGGAAAATGCTAAGAAAACCACTCACCACATAGAAAAGAAATAACCATTTAACACTTTTTTGTAGCATTCACATCTTATAACTGGTGTAGTTCTACTAAGAACTCACCAGAACAATGAAGTTCTTTGACCTTGAGGCATTTAAATACAGCCGAGTAGCAAAAGCAGAGTGGTGCTGAAGGGTCTAGTCAGGTTCCTCCAAGTCACATAGTAGCAATAGGGATTGACACATGTCATGTTCCAGGTCCCATTCAAGGTTCCTTATGTATGTGCAGCGACTCGTTTAATCCTCACATAGACTCTATCATGCAGCTACTATTGTAATCTCCATTTTAGAGATGAGGAAACTGAGGCACAGAATAACTTACAATAATACAGCTAAGTGGCTGAGATGAGATTCAAACTAAGGAAGTGTAGCTTGGGACTCCATTCCCCCACCCTCAATGCCATGTTAGCTGCATGAACAAACCTTGAAAGGTGCTGAGCATAACTTCAGAGAACTCCCAGACCCAGAGGCCCCATCTCCTCTTTGACTGCCTTGCATGTTCGCTTCACCACAGAGAGGGAGAGTTTTGTTTCAGTTGACTACATTCAGTTTGGAACAGAATCTTCACCACCCATCCCAGAAAGTGGGTTCCCTGCCCTCCCTGGTGGCTGAGGATCTGCTGGATCCACCTTTCAGGTGCCTTTCACAACAGGAACCCAAGTTAGGAAAACCAGTGAGACCACTTTTTCTAGGATGTATTTGGCAGGACCTTCAACCTACCCAGGACAAGCAGAGGGCATGACATATGCAAAAATTCAGGTGTGAGAAAAAGACAGGCATGTCCATGGAGAGGGTGAGACACTGTCTGATGAAAGGGTGTGTGAGAGGAGAGGGAAAAGTAATGGAAATTCTGGGTCCACTTTTGGTTGCAAAAGTCCTTATACCCAAAGTAGAGAAATTTGATTCTTTTTCTCTTATAAAGAGTGGAGAGCCATCAAAGGTCATGCTGTATTTGTTAGGTTTACAGTTTCTCACTACTTAAGAAGCTGTTTTTTTTTTTTAAGTTGCAGGTACTTCTCGGCAATTAGGAAACACTGCCATCGTGTGGCTTTTGATAATACATGCTCCAAACTGTAATTTGCCAAATTTTCTGATATTATTTAATAGTAATAAAACCAAAGAACACATTTCTTGATTCAAATAGCTGAAGTAAAGCAATGGTGACCTTAATTCTAATGTAAAAAGGATACTTTTTTAAAGAAGATGTTATTTATTTTCAGAGAGTGGGGAAAGGAGAGAAAAAGAGAGAGAGAGAGAAACATTGATGTGTGAGAGATACATCAATTACTTGTCTCTCACACCCCCCCAAACTGGGGACCTGGCCTGCAACCCAGCCATGCGCCCCAACCAGGAATTCAACTGGTGACCTTTCTGTTCCCAGGCCAGTGCTCAATCCACTAAGCCACACCAGGTAGGGCAAAAAAGATACTTTTACTAAAAAGTTTTTGCATAGCAAAGGAAACCATCAACAAAATAAAAAGACAACCCATGGAATGGAAGAACCTATCCCCAATGATACACCTGTAAAGGGTTAATGTCCAAAATTTATGAAGAACTCACACAACTTAATACCAAGAAAACAGACAGTCCAATTTATTCAGGGAACCTGAATAAATATTTCTCCAAAGAGGAAATACAGATGACCAATAGACATATGAAAAAATGCTCCATGTCAACAATCATCAGAGAGATGCAAATTAAAGACACAATGAGGTATCACCTCACACCTATAAGAATGGCTATCATCAATAAATCACAAATAAATTCTGGCAAGGATGTGGCGAAAAGGGACCCTTGTGCACCCTTGGTGGGAATGCAGATTGGTGCAGCCAATGAAAAACAGCATGGGGTTTCCTCAAAAAATAAAAAATGTAACTGCCTTTTGACCCAGCAATCCCACTTCTGGGAATATATCCAAAGAAATCCAAAAAACTAATCTGAAAGAATATATACACCCCTATGTTCACTGCAGCATTATTTACAATAGAAAAGATCTGGAAACTGCCCAAGCGCCCATCAGTAGATGAATGGATAAATATAAATAAATAAATTAATTAATTAAAAGAACCCATTGTGGTATATTTACACAATGGGATACTACTCAACATAAAAAAGAAGGAAATCTTATCTTTTTCGAGAACATAGATGATCCTGGAGATTATTATACTGAGTGAAATAAGCCAGGCAGAGAAAGACAAATACTATGTGATCTCATTCACATGTGGAATCTAATGAACAAAATAAACTGACAAACAAAATATAAACAGAGGCATGGACACACAGAACACACTGACAGCTGTCCGGGAACAGAGGGGTTGGAGGGCCGGATGAAAGAAGGTGAAGGGATTAAGCACCGCCCCCCCCCATATATGTATGTCACACCGGGACAGAGACAACAGTGCAGTGACAGCCCGAGGGGAGGAGGAGTGGCGGTAGGTGGAGATAGGCCATGGGGGGATGAGTGGGGACAAAAAGAGGCTTTGCTTTGGGTCATGGGTGCACGACGCTGAACTTTACAGTTGAAACCTGTATGGTTTTGTGAATCAATGTCACACCAATAAGTTCAATTTTTAAAAAGTTGTGGTACATATATATAATGGCATATTACTTGATCATAGAGAAGAATGAAATAGTACCATGTATGACAGCATAGATGGACCTAAAGGGTATTGTGCTAAGTGAAATAAGTCAATCGGAGAAAGACAAATACCATATGATTTCACTTATATGTGAAATATAAAGAACAATAAAACCAAAAAACCAAAACGGAAACAGAGAACAGACTGATAGTTGCCAGAGGGGAGGGGGTTGGGGGAGTCGGTGAAAAAGGTGAAGGGATTGAGAACTACAGATTGGCACTTACAGAATAGCCACAGAGATGTAAAGTACAGCATAGGGAATGTATTCAATAATATTGTATTATGCGTGGTATCGAGGGGGTACTGGAAGTACCATAAACAACACTTGGTAAAGCACAATATATAATTGTTTAACCATTCAGCTATACACCTGAAACTAATACAAAATAATACTGAATGTAAAAAATACATTTTTGATTAAATGAAGAAAATCTATACATTGTTTAAAATTGCCCAAAGTACATTAAAGTAGATCTAACTTAAAAAGTTTCAAAGGATACTTTTAATAAAGTGTTTCAAGAAATAAATACCTGAGTTCAATTCTCAGATTTCTTACTTTGTTTTTAATATTCTAATCTCTAAATCTTTAGCGATTCTGATTGCAAAGATCCTTTCTGCCCTTCCAGTGCCTCCTATCTTAGAATCATAAATTCTCTGGCCCCAAAAAGACTGCCATTTCCAGGCCAGTTTGGCATCAAACTCTCTGCAGGCCGTGTCCCTCCATTACTGCAGATTCTATTTCAGTCCTAGGTCTGTTCTCCTTGTATGGTCCCATAGTCGGACAGACCCAAAATTCAAATATGTATTTCCAACCATCTTTTAGCTGAGTGGTTTTGGGCAAGTCACCTAACCTCTGGAAGCTTCCATTCCATCATCTAAAATAATGAGGGTGACACTGTCTTCACAGGGATATTGTGAAGATGAAAAGATGACATGTGTGGAGGTGCAGGCACATCACACCTCCTCAGAGGAAGGGAGTCCCTCTTCCTTCCTCTAAGTCCCTGAGGACATATTTTTGTTGAGCACAACAAGAACTCAGGGGAGGTCTGTGATTTGAGAGTCAAGATTTACCCCTGGTCTTCCAGCAACATTTTCTGAAAACAAAACTACTCAGCCCCTCAGCCTTTGGGGGAACCACCCTTTTCAGCACATTGCTACCGACCTTGGACTTGCGGCGGGGGCAGGGGGGGCGGTGTTCGAGCCACCTATCTTCTCCACGAACTGCAGGCAGCAGAGGTGTGGCTGTGGACAGGCGCCTCTGGCATTCATTCCTCGCCCATCCCTGGCGGGGGGGGGGGGGGCTTGGCGTGCCCGCGAGTGTGTTTGTGTGTGTATAATTTAATCCCCGTGGGACTCAGTGTCTGGTCTCACCCTCAGCTCGGCTGATTGGCTGTCTCAGCTAGCCCCCGCCCTCCCCGCCACTGCGTCCCAGGTGGCTCAGGCCCCCGCGGTGATCTCTGTTTACCGAGAAAGCCTGCCCAAGTGGGGCTCCCTCCCCCACTCTCTCCCCGCTGAGGTTCCTGCCCGCCTAGGAAGCGGGGAGAAACCAAGCCGAGCCATTCCTCGCCCTTTTCCCCATCGCCTGGAGAGGTCAGGTAAGGGGTGTGGAGGGAGAGGGGGAGTCCCAAGCCAGGGGTAGCCCCATCACCCCGTCCCGGTATCTCGCAGATAACTCTCAGGTAACTCGCACCCACCCAGGAATTTCATGCCTAGGCCCAGCTCCCGCTCCCTCAGCCCCTGCCCTATCGTGCTCAGGGTGATGTGCCCTCCCTCCCTGGGAAAGCGGCCAGAAGCTGGATCTCAGGCCCCTGGAGGAGTCACAGACATGGAGACCTCACTCACAGGTGTTCCTTTCTCCCTCAGATGGCGATGGCCCCTACACCTGTCGGAACCCCGGATGGGGGCTGGGGCTGGGTGGTGGCAGCTGCAGCCTTCACGGTCAATGGGCTCTCCTACGGGCTGTTACGTTCCCTGGGCCTTGCCCTCCCTGATCTCGCCGAGCACTTTGACCGAACCTCTCAGGACACAGCGTGGGTCAGCGCCCTGGCTCTAGCCGTGCAGCAGGCAGCCAGTGAGGGGCCCCCACCCCGAGGTGGGGGGCGGGAACCAGGGTGGAGGGTCCCTGAGTTTAGTGGTGAGGAAAACACCTGATTACCAGATAACCTGAGAAAGGACGACAGGTATCACCAAGATCTAGAAGAGTGTGTTGAGGCTAAAAAAGGGAGCTATTAGGCTAGGGAAGAAGGTTCCATCCAGGCAAACAGCCAATGAGAAGTGTTGGAGTAAGTTGGAGCTGGGGCGTGTCTTTTATTGACTCCACCTCCTTTTAGGCCCAGTGGGCAGCGCCCTGAGCACCTGCTGGGGAGCGCGCCCAGTGGTGATGATTGGGGGCATCCTCACCTCGCTTGGTTTCGTCTTCTCGGCTTTCGCTGGCAGTCTGCTGCACCTCTACCTTGGCCTGGGCGTCCTCGCTGGTGAGGGGAGAGGATGCTTCGGTCCTAAAGGGGTGATGGTGGACATGGGAGCTTCTTGTGGGTAGGGGGCCTCCTTTGAGGAGCAGGTGTGGGATTTCTGGGCCAGGCCTTCCCAGTCCCTGTCCTCACCCGGTCTTATCCATTCGAAGGCTCAGGCTGGGCCTTGGTGTTCGCCCCTGCCCTCGGAACCGTCTCGCGTTACTTCTCCCGCCGTCGAGTCTCGGCCGTGGGTCTGGCACTCACAGGCAACGGAGCCTCTTCACTGCTCCTGGCGCCTGTCTTGCAGCTCCTCCTGGATACTTTCGGCTGGCGGGGCGCCTTGCTCCTCCTTGGCGCCATTACCCTCCACCTCACCCCCTGTGGTGCCCTGCTGCGACCCCTGGAGCTCCCTGGCGACCCCCCTGCCCCACCCCGCGGACCCCTAGCTGCCTTGGGCCTGGATCTCTTCACACGCCGAGCCTTCCTAGTTTTTGCTCTGGGCACGGCCCTGATCGCGGGCGGGTACTTCGTCCCCTACGTGCATTTGGCTCCTCATGCTTTAGACCAGGGCCTCGGAGGGTATAGGGCTGCATTGGTGGTGGCGGTGGCTGCAGTGGCGGACGCAGGCGCCCGGCTAGTCTGCGGGTGGTTGGCAGACCAGGGCTGGGTGCCCCTCCCGCGGCTGCTGGCGGTGTTTGGGGCTCTGACAGGGTTGGGGCTGCTGGCTGTGGGGCTGGTGCCAGTGGTAGGGAGTGAAGAGGGTTGGGGGGGCTCCCTGCTAGCTGTGGCCGGGGCCTACGGGCTGAGCGCCGGCAGCTACGCCCCGCTGGTTTTCGGAGTGCTCCCTGGGCTAGTAGGCTTCGGAGGTGTTGTGCAGGCCACAGGACTGGTGATGATGCTGATGAGCCTCGGTGGGCTTCTGGGCCCTCCACTATCAGGTAAGGGCCTGAGCCAACAGATCCGCCGGCCTCCATCCCCCCTGCCCCTGGGGTTCGAGGCGTCTAAATTCCTATCCTCTCCTCTCAGGCTTCCTAAGGGATGAGACCGGAGATTTCACCGCCTCCTTCCTCGTGTGCGGCTCTCTGGTCCTCTCTGGCAGCTTCATCTACATGGGGCTGCCTGGGGCTGTGCCTTCCTGCAGTCCAGCCTCCCCTCCAGCCACCCCTCCCCCTGAAAGGGGGGAATTGCTCCCCATTCCTCAAGTTGCCTTGCTCTCCCCAGGAGCCCCTCACTCCACTCTAGAAACCACTTGTTGACCATTTTCTTTTAAGCCCCTCCCCCAATAAAATGTTTCAGTTTTCCTGCATGTTCCCATTGTTAGGCAATTGAAGACACTGAAAATTTTCTACTTAAAGATATTCAACAGGCTGATTGAAAGAAACAGGATCCCACTAAGCCCTGGGAGACGGGGAGGCTATCTGTCTGTCAAGCCAATCCATTTCTCTTTGCCCAAGTTGTTGCCATTGTAACAGGAATCTTTTAGAAGTTATCTGCCTGTCAGCCTCAATTTGTGTGGGAGAGAGGGAGGCTCAGAAGTGCTGTCTGCCCCGTCCACACTTCCTTTACTCAGACTCTTCCCTGTGTCTCAATCTCTTACTGGCCGGAGGTAAACACAAGAATCCCAGACCCAGACAAACTCTCTCGGCTTCAGCTTTCCTAGTAAACTACCCCCCACCCCTGCACACACATACACCATGTCCCCACCATGCTCTTAATTTCTTTTCTAAGTCACAGGGGAGAGTGAAAAAGAAGGAAGTCAGTGGGCAAATGGAAGGAACTGTGGTCCAGAGAGCAGAAACCAGGGTTAAAACGCTCTAAGTCACAGGAGTTCCTGGACACCCCACCACCACCCAGCCATGATCCCATCCAAGCATACGGGCTCCAGCTCTTTCTGAGGTTCTGATTATTATTCAGTCTTCAGATTCAATTTTATTTCAAAGGGGCATCCCCCCTTCCCAAACATCTATCTTCAGAGAAGAAACTTAGCAGGAACACTAGAGATCACTTACAAAATATAGTTAAGTCTTTTGGCCTTTGATTTTCACAGTCGATTCATATCTCCGTGGAGCAGGCTGAACTGGATCCTGCAGAAAAGGTGGGAGCACGGCAGAGATAGGAGTCCTCAACTAAATACGGAGGGTTGGCACACACATCGCAGGAACCCTGGGCCTGCTGTGCTGGAAAATAGACCAAGATGCTTAAGGCACTATGGCTCTGTGGGCACCAACATGGGGCAGGAGGAGAAGACCTGGAGCTGCCAACCTCCGAATGTCTGGGTCTAACAGCCCCTTTTTGGAGTTCAGTCCTCTCCCAGCTCTTCCTTGGGCAGGCGGACTTTGGTATCCAGTGCCTCTGTGACAAGGTTCTGGGGCTTGGAGGCACGAGCTGAGAAGCAAAAGAAGTGGGGCAGAGTGAGGAGAACTCCACTCCCTGCAAGAAGAAAGGCCCCAGCCACCACAAAAGAAGCTGTGTAGTTGCCTGTCACATCCCGGAGGTAGCCTATGTCCAAGACAGAAAAAGAATACACATGAGTGATTTATTTCCTGGGACTGAGGACTCATATTTTTTGGTAGAGGGAAGATAATCCTTAACACATCATCTTGGAAGAGTTAGAACTCCCTAAGTAGGAATGGGTGAGCTTGAGAACTCTGGTTTCCCAAGGGCTTCAAATGGTAATTTCAGTCACCTTCCTGCCTTCAGAAAGGACCTCCAAATCAGCCAGTGGGGATTTGGGGACCCAGAGGGAGTCAGGCACATCTGTGCCTTTCCTTCTGATACCTGTGGCCCTCCCATCCATACCTTCAGTTAATAGTTAAGAAAAAATGTTAAGGGTCTGAAGGTTCTTGGCATGTGGAGATTGGAGAACTTTGACCACATGGCTCAGACACCTGAACTCCGGCCAAATGGGCCAAGGGAAGGGGCATACAGTGACATATTATGTCTGGCCAGGTCCAGCCAAGCAAGTTCTCTGAAAACCCAAGCTGCAGGTATCCTGCCAAGGATTCCATATAGCTCATTTTAGTCTTTCCCCAGCCCCAGTTACTTTGTCCCATGGACCCACTTCAGGGCTGCTATGATTGGCTATACAGGCCATGTAGTATTCCATATCAGAGGACAGTATTTACATCCACTATAACATGAATAGTCCCCTCCCCAAATGGTATGACATGGCATCCCTGGGCCACTTGGAAACCTCATTCCCCCCTTACCTGACAGAGGAGCCCCCAACAGTCCCCCGATGCTTTCTACCATCTGCACCAGTCCCAGGCCACAGTATATCCTTCCAGTCCCCACCAGTTCAGGCAGCATGGAGAAGGCCACTGGGGTCAAGGCCCCTGATGTAAAGCCATAGGCCACGGCCAGAGCCACCAGGGCTGTGGGAGCCCGAGCCACAGGGAACAGGGCCAATGACAACCCAGTCAGGGTGGTCCAGAGCATCAGGAGTCGTGCCACAGGCCCTGGGACAGCATCCCCTAGCCACCCAGAAACCACACGTCCCACAAGGTCAGAAATAGCAACCACTGAGAGGAGGAAGGCAGCAGGCAGTGGATCCCAATCCAGGTCCTGGACATGGGCCACCAGGTGCACATAGGGAATGAAGTAGCCAGTGTTGATCAGGGTGAGGGCAACAGTATAACGGAGGAAGGGGCCATGATGGAGAAGGGAGGCAAGTTGGGCCCCAGGGCCACCCATGGCAGGGTCCTCAGTCAGGGAGAGTGGCCGGAGGAGAGCACCACAGGCCACCAGGTGGAGGGAGAGGGCAGACACCAGCAACAGGGCTCCCCGCCATGCATAGTGGCTGATCAGCCATTGGAAAAGTGGGGCAAAAGCAAAGGAGGAGAGGCCCACGCCCGTCAGTGCCAGTCCCATGGCCAGGGATCGCAGGCGAGAGAAGTAACGTGACAGGCAGGCCAGGGTTGGAGTGAAGGTCAAGGCCCAGCCAGAGCCTGTCCAAAAGAAAAAAAAAAAGGAGAAGAAATGGTACTTGGGGACTCTTAGGGATCTCAGGGCACCCAGTAATCCCAACACTGCCCAGCAGCAGAATGTAGCACAGGCCTGGTTACAATCCTAATTTTGATACTTTGTACTTGCTAGTGTTTTGACTTTACTCAATCCCCCAGCCTCAATCTCCTCATCCACAAAATGAGAGTAATATATTTTATGGTACTGTAGAGGCTTAGAGATAGTGTTTTTTAAAGTAACTAGCACAGAATTTTGGAGTTAGACCTGGGTTCTACCATTTCTGGTTGTGTGATTTTCATTTGCCTAGTTCCATAAGCTTCTAAAGCCTTCCTTCATATGTAAATCAGATACCTATTTCACTGTCACAATACCTAACACAACTTCACTGTATGCAATTCTTCCTTCTATGCTCCAGTCCCACTAGCCCTGGGCTTGCATATTCTGGACATGTATCTCTGAATGTCCTAATTGCCCAACCCAGTTTATCCGTTCAGTCATTCCTCTTCATTTCCTTCAGGGTACAGGTGCTATTCAAAACTTTCTCTCAGCTTCTCCCTAAGCCTTTTAGCAGGATCAGGAGGAAGGTGATAGTCCAGAGGCCAAAAACGCAGGCATTGGACTTTCCTGCCCCTGCTCAGGATCTCACCTGAAAGCAGCCCAATACTCAGGTACAGGTGAGTCAAGGAGGTAGCAAAGGAGGCAAGCAACATGCCCAGTGCTGCCAAGATGCCCCCAGCCATCACCACAGGCCTTGGCCCGAACTTCGTGCTCAGGGCACTGCCCACTGGGCCTAGGGAAGAGGAAAGAGTTCTGTGAGAAGACCTCAGGCCTCCTTCTTTAGCATCTCCCCACCCCCATCCTCCCCCTTTACTGTCCATGTATCCCCCCCTCCCTTCCGACCGTCTGAGGACACCGGACCCAGGCTCAGCACTCACTGCCTAACTGCTGAACCGCGATTCCTATGGAGGCGATCCAGGAGACGCGTGCTGCCTGCTCCTCAAAAGCCTCCACAAACTCCACGAAGAAGATACCGAAGGAGCGGAGTACCCCGAACACCAGTGCCGACTGGAAGAACGCTGAGAGCACCACCATCCACCCCCAGCCCCCATCGGGGGGCTCGGCCCTACGTGCCATGGGGGGGGGGGGTGTAACAGAGCTGCGACCACTAAGAACCCCCCCAGGGGGAGCCAGAGTCAGGACGCTCCACCTCTGCCCACCCAGAGGGACTGCTCCGGACTGGAAACGGCGGTAAAGAAGGGACTGGCGAGGGCTTGAAAGCTGCAGAGAGGCTGCGTGAGGCGCCTGCGCCTTTCTCCTAGGCCGGGGGCGGGGTTGGATATGGGTAGCGAGAATCCCGGGGACCTTCGCCCGGGCGATTAGAGCCCGGGGGCGGGGCTCCGTTGGCAATCTGCCGAGAATCCAGGCCTAAGCAGGGTGGGCCAAACTTCGGTGGAGGAACCAAGAAGCAGTGCTGAGTTTGGACCCTACCCTTGGGGCGCACCATTTTCTGTGTAGATTATCTATTTGATCATTACGAGTGTCAGCACCTGGTCACCTGGCCACCTGGCCACCTGGCCAGGGCCGACATTAGCTCGCGGGACTCCAGAACAGGGGCGGAGCCAGAAGGCCGGGGCGGGGCCTAGAGTATTGTTCTGGACCCGGGCTGGAGTGGGGAGTATGCGTAGAGAGGGAACTTTAGGAGGTCGATTAGAGGCGGCCTCAGGTGACGCAGGGACCTAACACGAGGCTGCTTCGGTTTGCTGTCCACCCAACTGGCCAGTTCGTCCAGATTCCAGCACCAAAACCTGCACGTAAGGATCACATAGGGGTTGGTGGTGGGTAAGCTGGTTCAGGAGAGGAAAACTATTTGCTTAATGAGGAGCCCAGGAGTTGCAAGGCCAGGTGGGGGCTAGTGAAGGATCTATGATAAGAGTTTCAAAGAAAATACTCCAAGCCCCTGAGGTCACTAAAATCTAGATGCCTGGATCCCTAAGGGGTTCAAAGGCCAAAGAGACAAGGAGAATGGGTTGTTGGACTCCGGTCCCCAACTAACAGGAAACCTAGAGGTCACAGAGACCAAAAAAGCGGGAGAGGAAGGATGGGTCCTACCAGCATCACTTACCCCTTCTTCAGTGGGACTGAAACCCTTTCTTCTGTCCCTCTAGTAAAAACTACTTCCTAACCACTGTTTTTTCTTTTTAAAGATTTTATTTATTTCTCTTTAGAGGGGAAGGGAAGGAAAGAGGGAGAGAAATATCAATGTATGGATGCCTTCTCATGCGCCCCCTGCTGGGAACTGGCCTGCAACCCAGGCATGTGCCCTGACTAGGAATCCAACCGTCAACCCTTAGTTTTCAGGCCCGCGCTCAGTCCACTGAGCTACACCAACCAGCGCTAACCACAGTTTTTGATATCACGATTAGATAGCCTAGAGACAAAGAGACAAACCATGACCACAGGGACAGGGAGCAATCTGTCCCTCCTACCCAGTCCTCCACCTCCTATAGCATTAGTGGCTTGTCTTCCTGCTTCTTTATAATTCAAGCTCCCTGGGACCCTGATCTTGAAACTTGGACTCAAGGACTTATACCCAGACACATGAGGGATGGGGAGGAAGGAAGACTATGTAATTTTAAAAAGCATACTGACTCTTGTAATTTTATATATGGGAAATACATATAGTCATACTCCAAAAAACCTTTTTTTTTTTTTTTTTTGGTAAGTGGAATCAAACTTTTGGGTGGTGGAGGAATAGGTCAATGTGTAGAAAGTGGAGTGACAGTGTAACAGTGGTAAGGAGCACAGTCTTCAGAATCATGGTTCCAGCCTTGGCGTCATCACTTTTTAACTTGGCCAGGACATTGAACCTTTTAGTTCATTTCCCTATCTGTAAATTGAGGATAATAGCAACCTTTTTAAGGTTGTCAGGGGAATTGAATTAGAAAACCTGGGCACTAAAATGTTTAGTTTAGTTTAGAGCCTGACATGTAGCAGGAGTATTAGCTGGTCTCATTTTCTTTTTTTTTTTAATGCCAACTTCTTTTTTTGTTTTTAAGATTTTATTTATTTATCTTTAGAGGGGAAGGGAAGGAGAGAGGGAGAGAAATATCAATGTATGGCTGCCTCTCATGCACCCCCTGCTGGGAACTGGCTTGCAACCCAGGCATGTACCCTGACTGGGAATCAAACTGCGATCTCTTGGTTCACAGGCCCGCACTCAGTCCACTGAGCCACACCAGCCAGGAGCTGGTCTCATTTTCAACAGAGGATAAACTGTGGTGGGAGGAGAAGGAAGGTTTTAGTTTCCAAGTTTATTTCCTTCTTTTTTTTTTTTTAATCTTTTTAAAAATCTAATCCAGGTCACGGGTTTTAAAACACAGAAACACAACCATAAACTGTAAATGTTGGAAGGAATGCAGAGACCATGCTAATGGACCTGTTTCACAGATGAGTAATTCAAGTCCAAAGGGAGGTAACTTATCAAAATTAGTAAACTTCCACCCTCTGCCCACAGGGTAAAACAGAGGTGTCCACCCAGGACACACACAGGACAGGGGACAGCATGGGAGAGAAGCATACACTGGACAAAGGATAGATTCCAAAACACCATTGCTGGGGGAGAGTAGAGCTGCCATGTTGGCTCTAACCACACAGCCTTCTCACTGCCACCTCCAGCCCCTATTGTCCTCAGGGGACCCAAGTTCTATGCATTTTTTTGGTGGTGATGGTGGTGGTAGGCGGTATCCCAGCACAGATGCATCCCCCAGTCTCTTGGTATTATTAGTGGCTTCCTGGCTTCTCCCTGCCACCTCCACACTTCATGCAGGAAATGACCTCAGAGCAGCCGGATGCAGGTGGCTCCGGAGAAACTTCATGAAGTCACTGGTTCCTACACAATGAGTCAGAAGACAAGCGCAGGGAAGGGGAGAATGTAGGCCATTTAAAATGTCTGGTGGAATGGGCATGAAATCCAAGATAGTATACAGGAGGGTAGAACCCTCTTTCCCCAGCTTTACCCAGCCCCCAACCCCCCCCCCCCCAGGCAAGAATCCAGGACACAGCAGGGAGCACAGAGAGGCTTCTTTATTCCATGATTCTAATCTTGAAAGATTTAACACCTCCACCCCTAGGCACTCTCCACATGCCCATCCAGTTTGCTTAAAAAAAAAAAAAAAAAATATGGTTCCTTTTCACATCTCTCTTCCCTTTCCCCCCTCTCCTGCAGGTCTGCAGTGGAAGAAGTAGCTTTCTCACCAGTTCCCAACTGAAAGCCACTAGTACTGACCTATCTTGAGAAAGCTCCCTACAAATTCAAAGTGCTTCTTACCCTCTTCCCCATGCCCCAAATCAAACAGGCTGCTGGGCAAAAGGGGAAGGACTGTAAATCAAGGCTTCAAAGTGTCATCTAACATTCCAGACCTTCCACCAGTTAAGAGGCAATTCCATTCCTAACATTCTGCCTCCCTGGCCTACACCAGAGACTGCACCCCTTGACCTGCCTCTTAATTCTACCTGGACATTTTGGTTCACTAGAAGGTCCATCAGTTAATCGGTCTTTTAAATCTCCTAAACCTCTAATCCCAACAGTAATCCCAATCATAATCCCAAACTATAGCAAACCCAAAATGGAACTCAGCCCCTTTACTTTCCCTGTGGAAGGTTCTACTGCATTCACTGGTTCTAGACAGGAATGCAGTGATGGGAAGACCAGGTCACAGACCCAGCTTTTCTAAAGTAAGAAAGTTAACAAGCACCTGTGACTTCTAGAGGCAAAGAAGTGGAATCTGGACATTTGCCAGAACATGTCCAAAACCCCACTGAAGGAAGGAGTTTGTCTCAGAGAAACCCCAAGGAGTGTTCAAGGCCAGATGCGTCTGCTGCAAAGAACTAACTGGTCATGACATGTTGAGTCGAGATAAAGAGTTTTATAATTCTCCCTTAGGTGATAATATTCTTAGAGACTGGGCAGAATCAGAAAAGGTGGCATCATCTCTAATAAGGAATTTCAGATCTCTTCCCCCATGGAGGGATCACTTCAGTGCAAAGAACAGGCCCTAGTGGGAGGGTTGTGGCTTTATCATAACAGACACGGCTGAGCCCGACCTAGCTGAACAGGTGAATGGAACAGTTAGGGGTATAAGAAAAAGCCTCTCCAATTATCTCTCCAGTTCCAAGACTGATATAAAGTCTTCACATCCACAGCCCTGAGGAGGCACACATTATCTCTAATTCAGGTGCACCATAAAGGTTCCCATAACTCATGAAGAACAGGGAAAAGTCTATCCAGTTCCAGCCTGCTAGATATAATATCCAGAATACCAGAGAGGGTTCCTGACCCAATTCCACAAACCCACACGTTCCCAGTGCTGCCCTAGAAGAAATAAAGGTTCCAGACCTAGAGTTGGAGGGGGAGGGCACAGAGAACCCCTTTCTTCATTTAAACAAATCAACAAGCAAACAAATAGGAGAAAGAACAATTCTAAAGAAGTTATGGCAATAATAACAACAAACACATCAAGCCGAAGGAGACAGTGAAGTGCTAATCTCTGCCTGCAGAGCTGTGACCTCACACTCTGTTTCAGGTCACTTTGGTCACACTGTGGAAGAGGAAGGTGGGAAATGCAAAAGAATGGAGGCCCTGGTGCCACCCAGAGACCTCAATAAATTATATTTACAGATAAACCAAATGAGATGAGGGCTCCAGCCTCTCCTCTCCCCCAGCTCCTAGCTTGCTCTTCTCCTCAGAAATAATTTTTGATTGTGGGTAAGAGGTTTTGACCAGCAAAACAGAGGCAGATCAAGTCGAGATCTGCCACCCCTGCTCTCCCCAGTAAGAAATTAAGGTAGTGGCAGTTTCTGAGAACGGTGGGGCCCTGCACACCTCTATGCCCAAATCTGATGGAGAAGCCAGGCTAGGGCGAGCAGCTTTCCTGGCTTGCAGGAAGTGACTTGGGTCTGGGCCGTTGCTCAACTAGGGCCCCCCCAGAATGTGGTAGTGCACTTTGGTGTTGGTAGCAGCTCCGTGTTTCTGGCGCAGATGCAGCCTTAGTTGACTCTTGTGTCGGAAATGCAGGCCGCAAGGGTCGCACTGCGGAGGAGAGGGGTTTGTTCAGATAGCCGGGTCAGGTCCCTTCCCATCCACGACCACCTTTTAGGTGTTGAGTGAGGGAGAATTGTTAGTTCTCTCCAAGAGAAGCTCTTCAGTCCTCCCAAATCCTAAGGCAGAGGCCACGCCACGGACATAGGAGCTTCCCTCTTCAGCAAAGGTATTTCCATCCCTTAGCTCCTCTTCAGGAGCTAGCCTCCAGTCAAGGAACCTAACTTCTCTATACCTGCCCATTGCTACCCGTACCTCTGCCCCTTACAACCCTTTCCTAGTCCCGAACCCTTGCGCACTGGGATTCTTTCAGCACACCACCCATTTGGAAGAGCTCTAGAACCGCCAGGCAGGCTCCTCTCCGAGCCCCACCTAGGTAAATGGGAAGTAAGTCTGCGGCTTGGTTCAGACCAGGTCCGGTACTCACGTGGTAAGGCTTCTCCCCCGTGTGGATACGAACATGGCTTTTGAGGGTCTGTAGGTGGCGGAAGCGAGTCCCGCAGGTGGGGCAAGGATAGGGTTTCTCCCCTGTGTGGATCAGCACGTGCGCGCGCAGATGCGCCACCTGGGAGGGGAGGGAACTTCAGACAAGTCCTCTGAGAAAAACAGAACCTTTCCTAAACGGTCCATTCTGCCCTCTTGCAGATTCGCCTTTGAACCACTTCTGAGACTGGCTCCATACCTGTACGAAGCGGGAACCACACGTCTCACACTTATAGGGTTTCTCTCCCGAATGGATGCGGCTATGCGTTTTCAGGTTAGCCGGCCGGTTAAAGCGGGCTCCGCAGATGGAGCAGTGGTAGGGCTTTTCCCCTGGAGGTAGGGAGGAGCAGAGGTCAGAGACTCTGCCGAAGACCCAGGTGAGCAGGAAGGCCAGGATTCTCTCCTCCCTGCTCCTCCCCTACCTGTGTGCACAGTGCGGTGACTGGCCAGGTTGCCCTTGTAGCGGAAGGCAGACCGGCAGAGCTGACACTTGTAGGGCTTGTCCTCATCCCCAGGAGCTAAGGGGTCCAGCCCCGATGAGCACCCAGCCACAGCCTCACAGTTTTGGCAGCTGAAAAATTCACTTCCTATGAAGGGGGATGGGTAATGACAACAATATCAGAGAATCCTCAAACCACGTAGCCAGGTTTTCTTTTTCCCAATTTACTGTTATGACTTCTGGGGCTCATTTCATTTGCTCATGGTCACGTAGTTAGTAAGAGGAGAAGCCAACCTGACTCCATCCTTGTCTGTCTGTCTCCAGAGTACTCTGCTAATCTCTTCAATAGTAGTGGTGGTAGGGGAAGGTCCCTAGTAGTAGTAGGTGAAGGTTTCTGTCTCTCCTCAGCACTCTGAATGACCGCTAACCTGAGAGGCCCTGTCGAGCTCTAGGCTGACCACTCAGCCCTGGACTGGGGTGAGCCAGAAGTTTCCAAACACTGCTGCTCGTTGGAAGCTTTAAAAAATACTGATGCCTTCCCAATGTGCCAAAGTTGCGGGTTTGATTCCCAGTTGGGGCACATACAAGAACCAACCAATAAATACATAAATAAGTACAACAAACTGACCAATCTCTCTCAAATAAACTTTTCTAAAACTAAAAAAAAAAAAAAAAACTGATGCCTGTCTTCCACTTCTAGACGTTTTAATTGAGGGGTATGACCTAGGCAACAGGAGTTTCAAAAGCTCCATAAGTAAATTCTAATTTGCAACTGGAACTGGCCTTGAGCAGCCACAAAGGAAAAGCCCAGAAGGGGATAAAAGGAGGTGCTCTTACCTGGTGGTGGGTGAACCCGCCCAGAGGGTGATGATTCAGTGGCTTCCCGACCCTGGGGTGCGAGATGGGGGGTATTGACTGGAGCCCCACATTTAAACTGTCCAGTGGCAGCAGTTGGAGAGAGCCTAGGCAGAGCAAAAGGTTAGGAGAGATCATGTGGAGGGGGCTTTGCTGCTAGAGAACTTGGAACCAAATGCCTACCCTCCAGAAGTGAGCCAGTACTCACCAATGAGCCATATCCATTTGTGCTATCAAAGACCCAAAGCACTGAGTAAGCCTGGCCTCTGGCCAGCGTCCTAAGGTGGGCTAGTGTCTCTGGAACCCACCCACTCACTCCCTGCTCCTGACCAACCCAGCCCAACAGCTCTCTCTGCCTCCTGGCTGAGACTAGCCACTACAAATTCTTGGGGTTCCAGTTCCTGTACCTGCTCTGGGGACCAGGAATGGGTCCTTCTTCGCTGCCACTGCTGCTGCTGCTGCTGCTGCTGCTGCTGCTGCTGCTGCTGGAAGCCTCGTCTCCACTGGGGAACCCAGCTTGGGGGCAAAGTTGACCAGAACTCCTCTCCCCCGCCAGGCTCCCTGCTTGGGAGGCCTGAGAGTTTAGCACGATGAACTTGTATTTTTTCCAGTTGCAGGCCTTGGGGTCTGGGCTGCCTGGACTGGGGGGGCCTTGACTGCAGCTGCGAGACTCAGTAGGTGGGTCTGGGTGCCCTTCGGAGCGCCTGGGACTGCCTGGTGGAGGGGCCGTTGGGGGCGTGGGGGGTTCTGCCTCCAGGGGCCGCGGGGAGATGCCCAGAGGTTCATAGCTGGGAAAAGTGGGATGGACATTAGTGCTATTTCCTAATCTTGGCCTCTGCCCTCGATACCTGGGATACCAGTCACCTCACCCATGAAGAACACCAAGCTGGGGCTCCTCACCTGGCCTGAATGAAGCGGTGGCATGCCTGGACCACATGATCCATCTGCAAGTAGGTGGCGGCTGCAAGAACAGCTGGTGCAGTGGCCGGAGAGAGGCGTAGGCGAGAAGTGTACATGAAGTCTAGAAGAGGAGCGAAGCCTCCGGCTTCGGGGCCCCCGGGCAGAGAGAGCACATCCACCCCAACGCCTGCACGGCCTCGGAAAATTGAATAGAAAAAGCCACTGGAGAAAGGACAGATAGGTCATGTTAGGGGCTGGGGAACCAAGGCAGGTAAAGTGCCACTATAGAAAGCCACGCCCCATGGAGAGCCCCGCCTCCTCCCCACTGTCACCCCGCCCCCAATTCCAGGTTGCCCCGCCTCCTGCTTTTGAAAGCCTGGGCTTCAGATTCCCTCCCAACGAATTTATGGCTCCGCCCCTTTCCTATTTGGTCCCACTCCTTCCGAGGAGGCTCCCCTCGAACCTGCAGGCGATAAGAACCGCCTTGTGAGCTCGGAGAGGTTGCCCGCCAACCAGAAGCGTGACGTCGGTGAGGATCCCGCGCAGGCGCAACTCGTTGAGGTTGCCGAGCACGTCGGAGGAGTGGCGCGTGAACTCGCGGACGTAGCCCAGCGCTCGCTCCGGGGCAGCCGCGGAACCCATCGCGACGCAGGCCTGCGGGAGCCAGGGGGTCGAGGCGGTCCCAGGACGCCTTCCGTTCCGCAGTTTGCCTCTTCCTCCGGAGGGGCAAGTGGAGCCAACCTCCAGTGCCCGGCTCACGTCGCCTCACTTAATTCCTCTTACTCTTTCTACCCTCCACCGCACCGCTGCTCGCTTTCCTCCTCTAGATTCGAAGGCTCCCACACTGCGGCGTGGACGGCGAGGTGGAAGCTCCGACCCACAGCGCCCTTCGTTCGACTCTTAGTGCCTCTCCAGCACCGCCCCCCACACCCACCCAACTTCCCTCGGCTTCACCGCGCTCCCGAGTCTCAGGCGCCCGGCCCTGCCCGGAGACCCTATCGATCGAAGTTCCCTCCCCTGAACCACGAGCTCTACTACCTGCTACAAAGTTCCGACAGCCTAGCGTAGCCCAACCGTGGGCCTCGGTCTTCCTATCGTGAACAAACCCCAGCCCCCCTCGGGGACCCAGGGTCTGGCTCCCTCAGCCTCCGGTTCTCACCCCCGTCCTGCAGGGGCTGCGGCTCCTCTTCTCTGGGGGGTGGAGCCTCTCTCCCCTTTTGGCCTCGGCGCCTTTATCGGGCCGGGATGTCGGGGGCGGGGGTGGAGGTGGGGTGAACGCCTGGGTCTGTATCCTTCCTTCCTCCCTTGCTCTCCAGATGGCGAGCCCGGGGCGGGGTCTCGGCTCCAGGGCGGGACCTCAGAAAGGCAGGGTGGTCGTAACCTAAGGAGTCCTGGGTCACCGAAAGTGAAATCATCGAGGATGGGACGTTCGAATTGGGGAGAACCTTGGGGATATCCAGAGTAGAAATGTGGATGACTGGGCCGCGCGGGGGGGTGTGGCTGGGACTGCGAACATCGGTGTGTTAGCCGTTGAAAAGGGGTGCAAGGAGCCTGTTGCAAGACAAAAAAAATACAGCAAAAACTTTCTTTCCGGTGTACGGTATGACGGGACAAAAAGGAGAGCCAAAAGAGGCACCAGGTTCGGGGAGGCAATAGTGGGCTCCCGTGGAGTCCCAGACAGCAGGAGAGGTGATGTGAACGACAGGTTCCTCTGGCGGGGCCTACGCAAAGGGGACTCTGGTCGGGCGGGGTAGGGAAGGGCGGATATGATTTCTAGTTTGTTTCCTTCCATTGTCCTGCGACCGGACGGCTCCTACAGCTGCTTCCCCTCGAGGAGGTGGGGAAAGTCCCGGGTGGGAGCCGAGAGACGCTCAGGAGACCTAGGCGTCCGGACTCTAGCTCTCAACTCCCTTCAGAATCCTTTTAGGGACCCAGAGAGAGAGACTCCCGCCCAAATCCCGCTAGTGCTCCCCCAATCCCAGCCCACTAGGGCCTCGGGCACCCGCCGGTCGGCTAGGCGAGGAGGCTGGCGGGACGCCGGAGTCCAGCGCGGCAAGCCGGCGAAGCTCGACAATGTTTGGCTCCTTCCACGAGGGGGCGCACGAGCACTAGCTTCTCCGCGCCGGGTGGCTTCCACCCCGCTGAGGGGGGTCCGCTCTGACAGGGGCTCAGGATCAATTCGGTCTGGACGGCGGAAACCTTCCTCCTCGTCCTCTTGGTGCTGGTTTATTTTGTCCCTCTGTCTCCTAAGAGGGAACTAGGGTTGGACAGAGGGAGGGAGAGTTAGGCGACAGAAGTGACTTTCCTCCGAGGCTGGGGTTCCTACCTGGGGTGAGAAATCCGACGGCTTTGGGAACAAGGGAAATGGGTGGGACAAGGAGTGGGGTTTGAACCCTGGGAGCACAGGGTTTTCCTTTCTAATTAGTCTAGACATTATTATCTGTCTTTAGAGGTGAATTTTAAGAGAACATTAATATGAAAGTTGGGTGGGGTGAACAAAGAAAAGGGAAAACAGGGAGGTTCTCAGGATTAAAGAAGGGTAGAGAAGTCAGGAGGGGCATGATGACCCTGATTTTAAGTCCCAGATCTGGGAGACAGGCTCGGGTCAAAACTGGGGGCAGGGGACAAGGTACATTTGGAGAAGGGAGGCCAGAGCTGAATCCAGCTGCAAAGCAGGACTTGGATCTGGGTTTAGGAGTCTTCCATTGCCCAGGAATAACTGACCATTTCCTGTGGAGTTGCATATCCAGGCCTCTGGGCCCACACCTTCAGCTCTGAGGGTGTCCTTATTTGGATGCACATAAGAACTGCTGAGAAACTGGGGATTTGGGACCGCTGAGGATTCGGACCGATGGTGGCTTTTGATGTGAAGGTTACTTTGATTTCTGCCCAGTGTGGAGCTCCCTTTGGTATCAGGATGGGGTTGATTTTGTGTTTTCTGGTCAATTGTGGGGTGCATGTTTATTATGGAATATTGAGTTAGTTTGATTATTCTGGGCACTGGGCAGGCGGGGGAAGGGATGCATTCAGGCTGGAGGGCAAATGGTAAGTTTGAGGAATGAAGGTGATTTTGAAGCTCTGTTAGTTTGGGGGATTCTGACACTCACAATTTGGAGATTGTCACGTTGAAGTATTAGAAGAACCTGCTAGGTGTTCTTCGGGAAGCGGACGAGGGTTTTGTTTTTGAGGGTTTCATAGTCATTGGTGCATACAGACAATCTAATTTCAAGTACAGTAGTCAAGCTGATTCGGGGGATGTGTTAAGTTTTGGGGTGCCATATAAATTTCAAGGCTCAAATCAGATTAGAGGGGACACGAAATTAAATTTGGAGTCTTTTATTAGCTTGTAGTGGAACATAATAGGAACCTGGGAGTGTGTGTGAAGGCCTTCCATGATTGTGGTTCTACGAGGGTGAGCAAAGCTTTACATTTGAAAGTTGTGGAAACTTATTTGGAGGAGGGGAGACTCTTGTGTATGCACAGATAGCCAAGAAGCATTTTCTAGGGGTAGACACAAGACCAGGGCCCAGGGTAGGAAATTAAAGTTTTGGGGTGTCTTTATTTTGAGGTGTTTTGCAATGATTTTGGTGAGGCTGAGGGATGGATCAGAAGGTAAGATTGATTTGGGGGTTCACTTAATTTGGAGCATGATGGTGGTTTGGAATGTCCTTTGCTTATAGCTCCCTATCACCCCAGATTCTAGAAATCTCTTTGTTTAGTGAACCTCAGATATGCCCAGGATTGGACAGGAGAAATTTGGAAAGCGAGTGTATTTCTTCTTATTTCTATGTGGCCTAAAGAGATCTGAGGGGAAAAAAGATGGTTTCAGACTCCAAACCCCCAATTTCTTAAAGGAGGACACCTCAGTTTGTGAGGAAGTGGAGGAAAATGGGGTGTCTGGTGGTAAAGTGGACACCCCTGACTAGGTCAGTGCTGTTGGAACTGTGGCAAGGCGAGGTGGTGGTGGGGGTACAAGGAGGTGATTCTTGTACCCTGGTTTTCTAGGATAAGAGCCCCAAACAGAAAGCAGACAGAGGACTGGCAGTGTGGGTGAGATGGGGGGAGGGGTTCCTCACGGCAGCAGGGGCTAGGGGGTCAGCTAGGCCAGCTCTGCACGCCTGGGTCCCTGTTCTGTTCGGCTCTCCTCCCCTCTTTCCCTCCCACCGCCCACCCCCACAACCCAAGGGAAAAAAACTGCCTGTGCAACAGCAATGGCAGATTCCAATCCTCCAGGCTTTCCTGAACCACCACGGAGACCAGCCAGGGGGGAGGGGAAGGGAGGATCGGGCTTTTCTGCTTCCCTAAGACTGGGGCTATGAGCTTGACCTCCTGGCCCCTAGCCCTTCGAGGAGTGACCCCCGGTCTGGAAGCCAGGTGTCCTGGACCCTAGCCCCCGCGCGGGGGGGCCTGGAGAGACGAGGAGGAGGGAGGAGGGAGTGACTTCCAAAATTGGCATCGGGACAGAGCAGGGCTGGCGGGAGGCAGGCGAAAGACGGAATTTTCCTGAAAAAACGGGGATATCTGAGGACCCCAAATTTGGAGATCTAGTCCAGGACCGTCCTGCCAACATACTAGATTTTTTGGGGATTTTTTGGGGCCCCCAGGACCCCTCTAGATGGGGTGAGGAATGTAGTGTTGGGGGAATCTGACTGGGGCATTGCAGCTGCCTCTCCCGCCGAGTTGGACACGGATGGGCTGGGACGGGTTTGGGGGGGTGTCCCCAATTCTGACTGGGAGTGAAGGAACCCCCTTCTGAGCTCTCTTGTGGGGGTCCCCCCTCCCTAGGGCACTCCCCACTCCCTGAGCCAGCCGAGAGGAAGGAGGCCGGCGATGCGACTGGGGCAGCTCCTTTCTCCTGCACCCCAAATGTGAGGGATGCACCCCAAATTTTGCTCCCTTCAAAATAGGGGACCAGGATCTCAGGGGAGAGTAGCTGAGGTAAGTGGGGAGGAAAGTGTCCCCTGTTTTCAGGAGAGACGTGGCGGTTGGGGGGGGAGGTCTGGAGGTGCGTGCTGGGGTGGGGTTGGCTTTGTCAATCTTGGAACTGGGGGGACAGTTGGAGAGGCTTTCTCTTATGGCCCTAAACAGCAGTCCCCCAGATGAAAACCAAAGGCTGAGATCAGAGAGCCCCCCAACATCCCCAGCCGTTAGTAAAGTGCTTGATTTCTGTTTCACCCCCACAAAGGCTCTGCCGAGGATGGGAGCTGGGGGCAGTTGTTCAGTTTGGGGGCTGTGGAAGGTGGAATGAAGGGCAGGAGGCCTTGGCAGGACTTGATGTAGGGGAGACAGGGGTGTCAAGGGAGGGGGGTCTGGCATTCCCAGGGCCTAAAAAGACTGCTTACACCTACCATCTTACATCTTTTTGATTGCTAAGAGTTTTGGGGGGTGTGTCTGAAGGGAGGGTGGTAAAGAGGGGGATGGGAGGTGGGAAGATAACTTTTGGATTTTAGAGGATATTATTTTGATTTGTGGAAGGGACTTTGGCCCTTGGATTTTGATTTCTGGCGAGTGTTTTGTAAAAATCAAGTCCTGGGCAGGAGAAAGAGGCTGAGGGAAGGCCTAGGGTGGGGGAGGGGAGAGGCATGTTTGTCTCAGCTTAAACGTGGCTTTTTGGGGTGGGCCCACCTTCCTGGACCTGGTGGATGGGTTGATGGGGGTTGTTGCGCAGGGTGGGACTTGGGTCCTGGGGGGCCATGGAGAGTGGAACAGAGCTGGGGTTGAATACCTGGCCCCCAGGTCCAGATGGCCCTCTTCCTGGGCCCTGCTGCTCCCCTTTCCCCGGGGCCTCCATTTCCTGCCCTTGGCCTCCATCTTGTGGCAGGCCCAGGGCAACTTCCGGCCCCCCTCTCCCAACCATGTTCCGGCCCCACCACCTCTGGATTGCCAACTTCCAACCCTGCCGTCCTTGGCCTCCTGTCTCCTTGCTTTCTCTCGGGTTCTGACCCAGAGAGGGGAGGAACGGACACAGGAAGCCTTGGGTCCCTGCCCTTGCTGACTCGGGGAGGCAGTCTCTTGGCCCCCCATAGTCATTCCCTATTTCCTCCTCTTCTGACCCCACCCTAGGGATCCCCTGAGCAGTTTCTACAGAGCGAAGATGGTTCCAGTCTCACACTGCAGACTCACCCCTCAGGCCTCTCTCCCTCCATTTGCCTGTTCAGCTCCTGGCCCTGGCTCGTTTCCCCTAACCGTTCTTGGGGCCATGTTGCCTTCTCTATCTCCTGGCTCTTGGTGGTGGGGGTCTTCCCAGCACTGTCTCACGCTCCCTTCCTCTCAACCCACCCCAGTCCTGCTCCCGCCCCAGCAGCACACTGTGGTTTGTACGGCACTGTGGCCACGTCCAAACCACACTGTGGTGTTAGAGCGAGGGTGGGGGAGGCACCGCTGAGGCTTGGCCCCGGAGGCCACCCTGGAGAAGCAACACAAAAGACATCTGGGGCCTTCTATCAAGGTTGGGGGTGGGGGCTGGGAGAAGGGATGTATGAAAGCACTGGAGACAGCCCCTCTAAAACCCCCAGGTCAGTCACCCGAATACTGACTGCTAGAGACCCTGGAAGTAAGTTCTGCCTCCAGAGAGCAAAGTGGAGTCTGTTCCCCACACCCAACTCCCCTGGCTCTAGCAGCACAGAAATATTGGCACTGGGAAGAGTGTCTGCCAATATTGGCTGAGCTGCTCCAGGCAGGGTGGTGAGAGCTGCCGAGGAGGATGAGCCCCCAGAGGTGAAGGAGAGTGAACGGTCTCTTGTACTCCAATAATGTTAAGTGACATCACCAAGCTGAGAGGGAAATCTTTATTATTTTCTGTACAAAAATGTCCATCAGGTGCAAATCGAAGGTTTGGGAGCAGATGCTTATACAGGGACAGCACGGGGACAACCCCAGCAGTCTTCTGACCCTCTCCCACGTAGGCTCAGAGTCCTTGGTGATCCACAGCCCCAGGGCAAACACTAAGAGGGGTCAGACGCGGAAGGCTCAGTAAGACAGCAGAGGAGGATCAGCAGAGGTCATGAGAAGGCCAGAATCCAGGGTCAGGCTGTCTGGAACAGGAAGTAAAATGGGCCGAGATGGAGCGAGCCCCAAATATGCTTCCAAGACAATTCCTGCCTCCCCAAAGCCCCCAGCTCTTTACTGCAACCACCTGCACTATGTATGAGAACCTTCTCTTCCAAAGCCCCTGTAGAAGGGAGGGGACTCCTAAGACCCTCCCCTACCATCCAGGTGTCACTTCCTCCCCAACCCCTTCAGCTGGTGTGGGAGGAGAAGGACTCCTACCCTGGTCGAAGTTGAGTTTCTTGGAAGGAGGAGTTTCTCCTAGCCCTTCAATATCCACCAGGTCACTGTTGGCGTCGGAGTCGTTCAGGGCACTGAGGGTCACATCTGGGAGGGGGGCATAAGCTAGGTTCTAGGTTCCCTGACTGTAGCCTTGGCTTCCCAAAGCTCCAAGCTCTCCCTCCCTTCCCCACACCAGCCACTCTCTGGGAACCTTCACTGGGAGAGGAAGAGAGATTTGTCCTTCTTTGACCCAAGCCCACCTATCTCACTGAACCTCAGGTGGGACTTTAACCCCTAGGCGGCAACTCCCAGCCCTCACCAGCTTTCTGCTTCTTTATGGGGGGACCCCCAGCCTCAGGGACACAGGAACTGCTTAATGGAGGGGCAGCTGGAGGAGGCGACAAAACACCAGACGCCACTTTCTTGGGCCCTTTCTTGGGAGACTCAGTTGGAAGGGGGACACCAGAGTCTTCATATACTTTGCGCTTCACAGTGGCCTTTATCTGAGCCCTGCAGAGAAGAGAGAACAGGTTAGGGAGTCATCATCAGAGAGACTGAGTGTAGAAGGGAGGGGAGGGGTAGGGCAGGGCAGGGATAATGGGCCACTCTGAAGGGATACTAGGGAGACCCTTCAGAACCTGGATATGAATCCAAGTTAGGGTCCCAACCCTTTGGTAGGGTCTCATTTTCCTGAAGCTTTTCACTCACTCACTTGGGGCAGATGGAATGTAAAGAGTGAATTCCCTGAATTGAGTAGTGGGAAGGGCTCATCTCCAAATCCTCTTCTGGGAGAGAAGTATGGATGTAAAAGGCTAACAGGTAAGCCTTGGTGATTTAAAGGTAGATTCTGATCAACTAGTTCAGAATCACAGTATCCCTGGAAACACAGCAGCAGAGTCTCAAAAGAATTGTGTAAATAACCAGGCAACTCCCATTACCAAATTAAATTACTGGTTATCTCAGGCAATCTAAAGTCAAAAACTTGGAAGGGTCTGACTACCATAGTATTTTACACTTCTGACCAATTGTGACAATTTTTTTTATCTTTCAGTCCCCAGGGGGATACCAACAAAACTAGCAACAAAGTAGCAAGGATGCTGAGTTGGGAGTTCTTGAAGAAGATGGAACAATCGGTATAGGGGAAGAAAGCTGCCCACCCCTCCCTCTTTCTCTGCCAGCCACCCCTCCCTCACACTGTCCGTTCCTTGATGACACAGCTGATGTGATTAAGATCGTCCCCAAAACGCTTCACAGCAGCCCTCAGCATCTCTATCTCCGTCTCCGTCCACTTGGCACTGTCAGAGGGGGAGAGGGGAATATCCAAAGTGGGAGGAGAAGGGGTGTGGAGCCAGCCCCCAGGCAATGTGCACAGCAACCAGCCTCCTCCCCCTAATCCCTGGGGCCCCTCCCATGGATCCAAAAAAAGGTCCTCCTTAAAAACAAACAAAAACACGACCCCGTGGGACCCCAGGACCCCCAACCACATGATACTGAAAAAATCACCACCTTGTAAGAAAGCCTCCTCCCCATCGTAAAAATAGCTGCCGTAAACTGTCCACTGAAACCAATTCAACAAGGGGGGGGGGGACCGGGGCGTCTAACAAACAGAACACCTAAGCACAGTCTGCCACAATGTGAGGGAATGCCACGGGATTTGGGGTGGGTGGGTAGTGGTGGTAGTTTACGGTCTGCAGGTTCAGGTTGTGAGTGTCAGTCTGTGGTTTCACCTGTCATTCATTCAACAATCATTTATTACCATCCACTCTGCGCAGTGCCAGGCACAAAGGCAAACTAAAACTAACATCTGTCCTTGTCCTAAAGAATGTCCGTGTCACTGATCGAGTCCAAGCGTCCGCACTCTGCGTCCACGTCCCAGTCCAAACTCACGTACCCCGCGGGGGAAGAGTCGGCTACGGGATGCAGCTGCATCGTCAGCTCCCCAAGCTTCGTGAACGCGGCTCCCGCCGCGGAGAAGATCTCTCCAACCTGCGGGCGGGGCAGCATTACGGGGGGCCGAAGCACACCCCCGCGCCGTCCCGCCTGCAGCCCCTAGCCCCACCCCAGGTTCGATTCCCGCCCGCCTCCCGCTCGCTTCCCGCCCCCACTCTCCACCCCGGGCGGAAGAGCCGGGAGCCAACGGGGTGGGAGTGGGAACGCCCTCCCGCAGCCACTAGGGAGCGCTGTCCGCAAAGCAGGTCGAACCTTTGTGGACGCTGACGTCATGGTCCCGTGCGCCTCCGGCACGGAGACGCTGCCGCCGCCGCCGCCACCGCTACCACCGAGCCGGAGCCCGAGAGGCAGCCGATCAAACCGCTCCGACACGCACAGGAAGTCCCGCCCCTCCCCACAGCTGATTGGCTCAAACTGGGCGACTCAGCTCCACCAGCTGCAGTTACGCAGCCTCTGCGCAGCAGGGAAGTACGGAATGAGACCCCGCCCTACTTCCGGTGCGGCTTCTTTCCATTTCCGTGGAGTTGGAACTCCCTAATTAGAGGCGGATACCCAGCCCCAGTGCCCTCCTCTCCCAACCAAGCACAGATACAAGGCTTAGGAGTGTAATTTCTCTTTATTGTGGTACGGGAAGAGGCAAGGGAGCCGAAAGGACTGATAACAGTCAGCTTCAGCCTCCCTCCACTGGAGCCGGGATCCATAATGGGGTCAGGAGAGGGTAGGGAGAGCCTTAAATAGAAGAGGGGGCTCCAGAGCGTAAATGTGACCCAGCTCTATCGCACCATATATTCCTTGCGCTTATTGAGCCGTACTTGGCAGAAAGAGAAGCCCCCGAGGAGGAGGTAAAGTCCAGCAGCGATGAAACAGTTGTAGCTGACTTGCTCGTAGAGGTTGTATATGTCCTGGGGGCCATTCCTGGGGGTGGGGATTAAGCAGAGAAGTGTCAGAAACATTAATAGCTGCCAACATTTACTGAGTACTTACTGTGTGCCAGGTACGGGTTCTGAGTGCTTTTACATGTACTCTCTTGTTCAATCCTCACCCTATGAAGTGAGTTCCATTACAGCATCCACTTTGCAGAGAAAGATGGAGGCACAGAAAAGTCAAGCAAAATACTTAAGGCACAACTAAAGTGGTGAATTTAGAATGGCTGCTGAGGTTTGACTCCCAAGGCCAATACAAACTATGCTCAAGAGAGCAGTTCTCCACACCCAGTTCCTTAGCCACTGGGCCCGAAGCATGCGGAAGTCCTGCAATTCTTACCACAGGCTCAGCCACTTCCCACCTACTCCCAACCTCACCTCACCCACCTAACTTACTCAAAATCTTTCTCCGTGAAGGGAACGTCCTCAATGAGCACAGCGGAATGGACGTTGAAAAAGATTCCAAGCATTATCTGAAAACAGGGCATGGGTAGGTTTGACCTCAGGTCCCTGCCCTGGTCACTCCCTAAACTCCTTCCACTTCTAGTGTTGCCACAACATCTGGGTTTGAGAATTAACAAAATGCGCTGGGATTAGAGGTGGCTGTTGCTGAACTTCCGGGTGAATTTCAGTCACCCGGAACAGGGCATGAGGTCGTGACAGACGACTTGGCTGGGGCAAGGGCAGGAATAGTGTGTAACCCAGGAACCCAGAAAATTCTTCTCTCCAGAGGCGTCATTATCACGGGACAGGGCAGAAAGAATCAGGGGGAATCAGCACTTAGTTTCTTCCTGGAGTGGGGCGGGTAGAGTCCTGGGGAAACAAGGCCCCAGCTACCCATTTCGGGAATAAACGCTCCCTTTGCTCCACGCCCCTCTATTCAGTTTAAGCATCTCGCAAGAACCCAACTCTTCTTCCTCTTACCTTAAGGGGGGGGGGGGTCTCTAAATTTACCAGGTCCGGATCCCATTCCAAGCTCCAGCTCCCTCCCCCACTACCCGCCCTACTCCAGTTCCCCATTTCTCAATTTCAGTTGTCTCGTTCTCCAGCGGCTAACCAACCATCCCCCTCCAGCCTGCCTGCGGCTTTCTAAGGCCTGGAGTCTCCTAGCCTTCTAGCCCTCCAACACCAGGGCCCCTCAGACCCTCTGCAGTTCTCGTCGGCTAGTCCCCTCACCAACATGATCACTCCCCAAGCGCTGAGGACGATGCCGCAGGCGGCCAGCTTGGGCCCACAGCACAGAAGCGACGCCATGAATAAAGGACTCCGGGACGCCCCAGCTATGGGCCAAACAGAAAGGCAGTGAAAGTAATCCCCGATATGCCCGAGCAATAAAACCCTGCCGGATTCTGGACCGGGCGCTGTTGCGGACAGAAAGCCCTGACGTCGACTGAGGGGCGTGGCCTAGGACCGAACCTTTGTGAGGGTTGGGGGGGCGCCAGACAGAGAACTCTGGGCGAGTTTGGCTCCTCCCCATATTTTGGCGATAAAAGATAGTGTCTGAAATGAAACCATTCTCTCCAGAGTCTCTTATTAACCCAAGCAGCTGGGCGCAAATATTCCAGTAGCAAGGGCCTGAAGGTTCCTCCCTCTCCAGGTTGGAATGGAAAGCGCCATCGTGTCACATGACCCATTTTAGCAAGTCACGTGACGGCGAACCCCAGTTGCCGGGGTTTAGGGAAATAGTCTGGGTTGCAAGGGTCCTGGTAACCTTGACGTTGGGCTTTTCGTGGCAGGAAATTGCAAATGATTTTCCCCTCACATACTGTAGTTTCGGGTAGTATTCTGTGATGAGGAAACGGAAAATGAGATGTAGAATTAACGCCCAGAGAGAACGCCTATATCTCCTCTCATCCCTATGTTTAAAAATAGATGTTCTGACCCTGAAAGGAAATAGGAGATCCTTCCTGAGGTCAGGCATGCTGCTGTGGCTAGAATGCTTTAAAATTGCGAAGGGTTCTTGGCATTGGAAGTACTTAAGTAATATTTCGTTACCAGACATAGAATACTAATGCCTTTTGGGTGCCAAATCCAGGAAAAATATGGGCGTTGGGAAAAGCCTAAGGAAAGTAGACTCTAAGTTGTGAAGGTGTGTGGCCTGCTAAATGTTCTGGAGGAAAAAATACGCAAAAGGTCACTTTGCTTCCCTATTGTAAACTAAGGAAACGGGTTATAGGTCCTTTGAATAAGAAAAGGTAAAATATTTTAAAAATATGAATAGGGAAAAACTTTGGAGTCATCGATCCAAGGGAAAAGTTTGTATACTTCACTGGTAAAACAAACAAACAAACAAACAAACAAAAAACCTGTTTGTGATAATTTAGGGAAACGGGGGTTTGAGGAACGCAGCTTTGCTCTCAGCTTATTGTGCTCAGTCTAGTGAAATCAATGATCATGGTGTAATTGAGAGGGATCGTTTTGATCCCAGATCCTGGAACTAGACAGGGAAATGGTGGTTAGCATAGCTTCGTGGTATTTTTCCACTTACTTCGTGCCTATTGTTCTATAAAGGGTAATGAAAGAGAATGTGGAACTGGGGCACGGGTAGACTCCCGTGTACAAAAGGGGCTGGGAAAGTGTTCCTGAGACATGAATTTTGTGGCTCTTCTGTTTGAGACTTTGGGGAAGGAAGCCAAAAGTTTGTATTCTGCTCTGGGAGCACCATTCTTATTCCAGGACTTAGGGCATAGGTGTGTGAATAGGAGGAATAGGGGTGGAGGGAAAGTTGTCAAAGAACAGAATCAAGAATTTTTAAGCTAGCCACCAAGCACAGAGTCTAGCTTCTCCACCCACCCCTGAGAGCATTCTTTGGATGTTTGCAAGTAGGGTCAGTGCCTCAGGCTGGAGCAGGGTACTGCCACCGAGGACCAAATCCAGCCTTCAGCCTGTGCATGTTTCTTTAGCAAAGCACAGTGTTTTTTTATTTGTTTGTTGCATTTTTGAATGGTTGACTAAAACAAAGAATTATTTGGTGACACAGGAAGTTCATATTTCACTGTCCATAAATAGTTTTATTGGAACACAGTCACACATTCATTTTCACATTGTCTGTGGCTGCTTTTTGCTACAGTGGGAGAGTTCAGTAATTGTGACAGAAACTGTGTGGCCTACAAATCCTAACATTTTTATTTGGGTTTTTACAGAAAAGGTGTGCTGCCCCCCTGGGATACTGATGTAGAGGATTTAGCTGGGAGAGAAAATAGAGCCTTAGCAGCAGACACTTAGCAAACCATGAAATTCAAAATAGAAGTGGCAGTCCTAGAGCTGATCTGAAGTTTTCAGGGTGGGAGGCACCTTAGAGCTCAGATAGTGACACTGTTCTCTATGTGGCTGGGCTTTAGGTATTCGTAGGTTAGGTCAAGTTGCTCATTCCGCGCTGTAATTTCCCTTTCCAGGTTTTCCAGATCTGTTTGGAATTGCTTTAGTACAGCCTCGGCCTTGGGGTCTGAAAAATACTTTTCTTTGTGATGCCCCAGAGGCACCTAAGATAGAACAGAGGATCAGTCAGTCAGTTTCTTATTTGAACAGAGGCACCTAGAGCCTAGCCCCTAACTTTGATGTTTCCCTTCCATTGGTATACCTCTTTGCCTAGAGTCCTCTCTTACCATGTCTGGCTGGCTTCGACTCAGATGCCATGTGATGGCCATTTGAAGACAGGCCTTTCTGACATCAGGTAGTGAGCCCATCACTGTGTCCATTGTCACATCTTCCTTGGTGGTGGGTGGGGGCATTCGCATTGTGCACGGGGCATTAGGAACCCAGGCATACCAGTCCAGCTGGGGGAAGAAAGTACAACCCTAGGGATCTGGTACTTAGGGTTTGAACCCCCACCTCTCTGTTGGGCATTCCAAGGTCCTGACACTTGCCTTCAGGGACCTGGGCTTTCAGATGTTCATACCTGGCCCTGGTTGATGGCCCCATGCTGGGCAGTGCACGTGAAAACACACATGGTGAGGAAATGGCAGAGCTGATTTTGGGACTGGAGGGAGACAGGAAAACCTGGGCAGGAAAGGAACCGGATTTAGAGGCTACAGCATGAGAAAAGAAAAATAAAGGTTGATGTCTTTGGGCCTCTGTATTTTGGAACTAATGGATTCATTTATTCAAATGTATTTATATCAGACATGAATTTCATATCAGAGTAAATAGTCATTATGGAAGGGTATGGGAAAGATTGTGTGATCCTCTGCCTTAAAAAGTGGCTGAGAATTTAGGGCTGCTTCCTCCTATTCTCAGAAGTGGAATTACAAGTGCCTGAATTATAAGATGAGGAATGAGAGAAGTCACAGATTGCCCTTGCTGGATAGCTGGGTTGGTTAGAGCATCATCCCAATATGCCAACATTGTATGTTCCATCCCCAGTTAGGGCACAGACAAGAATCAACCAATGAATGTGTGAAGGAGTGGAACATCATATTGATGTTTATCTCTCTCTTTTTCTATTTCTTTCCATCTCTCCCTTCCTCTCTCTAAAATCAATAAATCAAAATGAAAAGAGAGAGAGAGAGAGAGAGAGAGAGAGAGAGGAGCCATGGATTTTTAGTGTCACAGCCAAGAGAGGCTTCCCACAAAGATGATCTCAGGCCACTAATTTTACAGTGGAGGTGGAGACTCAGAAACCTAATAATTCTGTCAGTTAAGTGGAACAAATATAATCACTCTCCTTTAATAGACTTTAAAAAAAAAACAAAGACCAGAGGATAAACTGCTTGTCAGGACACAGCTGGAAAAAGGCAGAGGCTGATCTTGAACTCAGTTCCTGGCTGCTAATCTCAGTTTTTAATTTGATCACATTTCTTCCACAAGGCTATTGGGAAAATTAGGCAAAGGTCAGCTACGAGAACCAGGGGAAAGAGGATGAGAGGCAGTTAATAGAGTTTAAAGTTAACATGTGAAAGTTTTATTTTTCCAAATGTAGTTGATAGTAGTTGGGGGAAAGATGGCCAGAGAGAAGAAGAGACTTTCGAGGGCATGTGGAGACTAAGGGACAGTACTGAGATGTCCTAGAGAAAGTTTGGTCCTGGGAGGGTGCAGGTGTTGGTCTGGTGTTCACTGGCTCCCCAGGGCATGGCCATAATGGCTCCCCTATAAGTGTCTGTAGTTGTCTCACAGAGGCAGAGGTGTTGGGGTGAAGCGTGAGGAGCAGGGACTGAAGGACAATTTGAAGCTGTCCAGGTTGGCCTATGTATGTGAGGGAGAGGAGGATGAACCTAGGAGAGCTCAAGAAAGACTGTTTCCTCCCCAGTGGTTAAATGTGGGCAGAGGACACTAAAGCTAGTGGTGAGGTCCTAAGCTAGTGCTAGATCCTAGCAAGGGTAGGGAAAGGACAGATTGGCCGAAGGAATGTGAGCCCAAGGGATGGAACTGAGTGTGAGTTTGAGGCAAGGCATGTACAATCTTGAGTTTGCACCTAGAAATGACCTTGCACTGTGGCGAAGTGTTCCTGGACCCTCAGTGCGTGCTGGACAGTAGCAGGGAGGAGAAGGGAGGAAAAATGGAGTGCATCATTGTGGGACTTGGTGGAAAAACCTTCCCATTCATATCCTCAGAAGAAAAACAAACCATGAAGAGAGGTATGAGCCCTAGTGGGGCCTGGCTAGAACCCCCACTGGCTGTGGTTCTGGGCCCACTGGACCCCATGCTGTAGCAGGTTGGGGGCATTTGTGACTAGGCAAGGGGGATGGACATAAAGGTTGATGGCCAGGGTCTCTGAGGCAGATAATCCTCGTGCTTCTAGAATTGTCCTGAGTCCTAGGAGGTGGGAATGGGATTCAGATGCTTCATGTGTGGAGGGAGAGGGGGTTGGGGTCACATCCCCAGAAGGGCATGGCTGACAAGGGGCTCTTAGCAGAGTGTCTGAGAAGCTCCTTTTTGTGGGGAGGGATCTTACCTCGGTCCTGGGCCCGGCACAGCCCCACCTCAGTGATCTCCCGACACCAGGCCTGCAGCTCAGGGTCCCCTCTCACGACATCATCCTCATGGTAGAAGAGGTGGACAATCCCTTCCACATACCTACCCATGGGAGAAGGGGGTTGAGCTCCTTGAGAGCAGAAGGCTGTGGCTTCTTGCCGCCACTCCTTTTCTATGGTCTTTAACAGACTCTTACTATGTCTGAGTATAGATCCTTCTACACTTGCCTTTTGGGACATTCCCCAGCTCTTTCTACACATTACTGGAGAAAGGAATGAAATATGGGTTATTACTTCTAGAAATTCTCTGTACATGGTTGACAGCTGTTCTTCCTGATAAAAACCCTGATTTGTCCAGATCCCTCAGCATCCCCATCCACTGCTTTCCCGGCCTAGGCTGTCTACCCCCATCTTCATCTCTTCCTTCTCAGACCCCATCCACTGACTCCTCACTGTTCCTCATCTCTCCCAGAATTGAGTGCTCTGCTCCTCCTGTCTGGGCCTTGTTTCGTGTTCCTTTTGCTCCATGCTGACCTCAAGCCAGGGCCCTACTCTCTCTCTTCTCAATACCCCTCCATTTCTCAGCTCCCACCCTCACCCACCGGGCAGTGATCTCCCAGACCCGTAAAGCATCGTGGGCATAGAGGGCACTTGGGAGTCCCAGCAGGCCCCGGTCGGCCAGATCGTCAGGAGGACAGAGGGAGCGGTAGGTCAGCTGAGCTGTAGCCCGACGGAGCAGCTGTACGTGGCCCCCACCACCTGTGCTCGCCGCCTGGAAAAAGAGACGAGAGGCTTTGAGGAAGAAGACAGAGCATGGCATTGAAGAGGTTCAGATGTGGAGGTTCTCACATTTAAAGACATGAGTATAAAGGGACAAGGCTCCTGAGTTTAAGGGTCAGGGCATTCACACAGGTTGGTCTGGGATCTTGAAAGTGACAGGAGGCCATGCAGAGTTAGATGATTAAGTGATTACCTCCTTACCTTATCAAATATACCACCAGCTGAGATGAGTTGGTCCCGTGCCCGGGTGTTGATCTCCATGGTGTAGCGGGTGTGTGGGATCAGGAGCTGGGTGGAGAGGATTGGAGGGATGGTTTATGGAAGACATGCTTGGGTCCTTTATTAGTGAGTGGCACTCAGCATGGTGGCCTTCTGTCCTCTTGATGCTTTCCTCTCTGCTAGTGCCTTTGCAGGCTGGTCTCCTGCTTCTCTGATCACTCATTCTTGTGCTCTTAACTCCCCTGTGAGGCTCGTGAGCTAGAAGGACCTGGGTTTCAATCTATAATTCACCATTGGTTTGATCCTTGCCCAAGGTAAGTCCCCCCTGACTGTTAATCTGTCTCATCCCCTATCATCCATCTGACAACAGGGAGTGATAAGTGAGTTTCTTATCTCAGAAGGCAGTGGTGATTCTTAGGCAAGTGATACCTGAGGAAGTCCAAGTCTCAGCTGTTACCATTGATTTTATTTCTACCTTGGGTGTTGGTGATTTCTAAGAATCAGCCCCTTTTGATTTTCTTTTATAATTCCATCATTTGCATTCTCATAGCTTATAATTACCTCTCTACTCATCATCAAAGCTACACTCCATCCTCTGGTTGCCTCACTGTTGGTTTCGGGCGGCCTTGAACCTTTAGTCAGAATAAGAGGAACCATTCTGAGCTACCTACTTCAGCAGCAGAGGGGCTGTTGTCAGATATGCCCCACTTCCATTTAGACAGGCCCCCTCTATATTTTTTAAAGATTTTATTTTTATTTATTTTTAGAGAGAGAAGGGAGGGATAAAGAGGAGAGAAACATGGGTTGCCTCTTGTATGTGCCCCGACTGGCAATCAAAACCACAACCTAGGCATGTGCTCTGATCCCCTGACCAGGAATCAAACATGACCTGTCACTTTGCGGGTTGATGCCCAACCAACTGAGCCACGTTGGTCAAAGTTACCCCCCCTGTTTTTAACAGCTTAAAAAAATACCTTTTCTTAGGTATTAAAAAGGTCACCTAATCCTCACATTTCTTTTTATCTCACACTATTTTGTCTTCGTTTCCACCCAGTTTATAGACAGGTTCCATGTAGTGTTGGCATTTACCCGAGTTGTTGGAACTGGACACGAGGAATAACCCAAGTGGTACCTCTGGTGTCAAGATGTCAAAGCAGCTCACATCAGTCTAAAACTTTTCAAAAAGTTCATGGAAGATGCTGTCATAGAAAGCCCAAAGTCCACATGAGGAGAGAAAATATCTGAAGACAAACAACTCCTCATGAGGGTAATAATAATTGCAAAAAGCTACGGGCATTTGTAGCTTTCAGCCTGTCTTACACTGTTATGTCATCCTGTCCTTAAACAGCCCACGGTATTGTCCTTGTTCAGAGATGAGCCCACTGGAGCAGACATCTGGTAAGTACTGAGGTCGGGCCTCAGGATTTAGCCCCTGGAAGTCCGAACCACAGCCTGCACACATAAGCTTTATGACCTTTGCGGGTTAGTCCTCTGGGGGTAGTGAGCAGATATAGGTGTGGAGAGGGATGACCTACCAAAGAGGGAATTTCACCTGTGAATAGAGGCTTCACCTACTCAGAATGAGCAGAAGATGGTGATGCAGGAGCGCCATGAGATCAGTAAAATCCAGGACTCTATTATCACACTGGTCTCTATCCTACCTATGTTACCCCAGACTCAGTGAGGCCATAGCTACTATTGGCCAGGGTCAGGGTATAGGCCCCCAGGTTGCAACATTTCAGTTCTCCTTACCCAGGAACTCATTTGCATATCTTGCCAACATTTCAAACTCCACAAACCTAACACTGAACACCTCATGTTTGCTTCCAAACTGGCTTCTTCTAATGACGCTGATGGTTCTGATGATTGCTCTGGTTCATAAGCTTCTACCAGTGTTGTCCCTTCTCTGCCATATTCCCTATGTCTAAAATGTCACCAGGATTTTGAGAATACCTTTAAGCAAGCACAAGTTTTATTTTGCTGCCTTCTGCCTAGCGATAGATACTGAACTCACTCTTTTATAAAATTACAACACATCCACCCTGTGGGCTTCTAGGTGTTGCAGCTTAGACCTCTCACCTTTCTCTCTTCAGTCTTATCCCCAGGCACCTGCTGTTTCCTCCCTTCACCAAGTCTTTGGGGTTTTTTTCCCTTTTCATTCCTGTTACCCGTTGCATGTCTTTCTCCACCTCTCTCCCTAGTCAGGTATAAGTAACCTACAGGGGTTCTCTCTTTGCCTTTTCATATATTCCTGCAGCAGACTTCTCACTTGGGGTGGGATATTCTCTGTTCATACTATAGTGTTTATATGCTGTCTCTCATGATTTCAAATTCTAGCTCCAGATATTGTTCTCTGGTTGGTTCTCATGGTCATCACTTGTTTTCCTGGATACACAGTAAATCTCCTAAGACAGAAGTGAGGATTTTGTTTTACTAGCAATATTCCAGCAATACTCCAGGCTCCTTGCTAGAATTGTCAGGTCTCTGGAATTTCAGAGGGTTCACTTATAACATGTCCTGAAGAAACATTCAATGACTTGATTTGATTAAAATACAAGTCTTAAATACTGATACAGTCTTTCTTCTCCTTATCCCTCTTTCCTTCACAAATTGATGTAAGTATTGTTTGTTGCAGCAGTATTACTTGATATTGGCTGTTTTCTCCCTTGGATCTAAGCGAGACGGGACTTGAAGGGTAGAGGATTTACCTTGAAGACAGGGTGCATTCCTGGGAGACACCTCATGGTGGCAACAGCGATAACCTCAGCGACCAGATGAGTGTTCAGCAGATGGTACTGGAGCTGGTGCAGTTGGAAATCTGAACTTCGGACCCAGGACTTTGCCAGGAGCCAGGCAAGTGGAGGATCTGAGGGCAGGAACAGCAGTGGGGTCGGGGAGCTGGGGTTGGGAGGCTGGACCTGGGAAAAAATAAACATTTACTGAACTTCCACTTGGTATGTGACATTCTGGTCAGCATTCTTGGAGAAACAGAAGAGTCAGTAAGATTATTATTTTCCAGGAGGTTATAATTTAGTAGGAGGCATGAGGGCCCTTCCACACTGCTTCTTACTAGCCATGGGGCCATATTAGTGCCCTGATGGGCAGGTTGAAGTAGGAGAGTCAGAACAGAAGCCCAGTAAGTATATTCTAACAGTGGTTCGGGAGAAATACAATGGGGTTCTGAGTCAGAGTGGGGGGATGAAAAGGAGAAGCTGGGCCCTGGCAGGATAGCTCAGTTGGTTAGAGCATTGCCCCAATATGTCAAGGTTGTAGGTTTGATCCCTGGTCAGGGCACATACAGGAATCAATTAATGAATACATAAATAAGTGAAATGACTATTCAATGTTTTCCTCTCTCTCTTCTAAAATCAATCAATAAAAAAATTAACAGGAGAAGCTGGATATATGAGATAATTGACAATAATTTTTTACTGACTGTTGGGAACTTTGGGAGAAGAGATATTCAGGAAACAATGGGTATTTAGAGTCAAGGCTACTGAGAGATTAAATAGTGGTTCTCAGTGTGTGTGCCCACACTAGCAGCAGCCTTATCACTTTGGAACCTGTTAGAAAAGCAAATTCTCAATTCCTTCCCCAGGTCTACTGAATCAGAAAGTGTGGGGGCAGACCTGGCGACCTGTGTGTTAAGGAGCCTTCAGGTGCTTCTGATGCACACTGAAGTTTGAGAACCACTGAGTACAGCATGAGAACTCCACAAGGCCATTATGACTCTTGAACAAGTACTTCCAGTTGGGTGAGTCAGGGAAAATCAGGCTGCAAAGAGTGACACGAGGACATGTTTCACTCTGTGAGAATGGGGTTTGGGAGCTGGGTGTCTGAGAGCAGAGGCTGGGATGAACTGAGAGCAGTGCCGGAAGGGGGATGCCTGGGACACCTCACCTGGATGACCATGGGCAGCAGCTTCCCATTGGGTTCCATCCTCAGCATGACGAGGGGGGCAGCCAGGTACTGCTTCTCTCCTCGGATCACATTGGCTGGAATTCCATCCAGCAGGATGAAGTCAGCCTCAAATAAGGAACCCTTCTGGGGGAAGGATGGATATAACCATGGTTAGAGTTCAAAGTCTACTCCCAGAGGGACAGGGCAAAGGGGGAAAGACAGTTATCTTTTGTTAGCCAACACTGCCCCAATAAATTAAAAATAAAACCATTTATCTAGCTTCTTACCATTGTCCTCTATCAGTACCAAAGAGTCCTATTGGTGGAACCAGAGCATCTGGTCCAACTCCTCTCATTTTAAATAAATGAAGGAACAACGTGGTGTGGGTTGATGCCTTGTGCAGGTTTTGTGCAGGCAGCAGATCTGAGTTGAGAACCAGGCCTCTCAGTCCAGTTTGCACCATGGCATTGCAAACTATCCCATTGCCCAGGGGTTGTACCCCTTCCCCATCACCCCCCAGTGTCTTCTCCCTGGATTTGGTTTCCATCAGCTCAGCAAATGCTCTTTTACTACTTGGCCAGATCTTGCCTCCTCTGTGAAGTAATCCACTTGGTTCCCCTGGCTACCACTGTCACCGAACCCAGACACATGCACGTGGACATGTGCACTTCCTGCCTTACATCCATCTCATCTTTTCTAAACCCAGCTTCCCACCTCCAGGAAACTGCCTCAATGCCCTCCACCCTCCAACAGTGCATTCTTCAGCTTTCTGGCTGTCCATGAACACGCACTGGGAGCACTGACATCAGCCAGGGAATGTCATTGTCCCAGCTAACATCCCTGGCCCCATCTGCATTCGCCTTGGAAATCCTTGCTGGGAGTGCCTCATAGTTTCCCTTACATGTTTTACCATCTCTTGTGTTTTTTTGCAGCATAGGACTCTGGGGGAGTAGGTTACCACAGCCTCCCTTCCCAGACTCACCTTTGGGCTCTCCTCTTCACCACCCTTCCCTATAGAGCCAAGAAGAGAACAATGTAGGGTGGGAGGAGGTACCTGGAGTTCTTTCTCCAGCTGGGCCTGAAGCTCCTCCATCCCTAAAGGCAGCACCAGCCGGGAGGGCAGAGAGGTGGAGCGTCTCAACAGCATGGGGTTGGTGCCATTGAGGAACTGGTAGCCAAAAACCTCATCTTCCTGCCAGCACTGGTGAACCTTCTCTGGGGAGACAGGGTGGAGGGTAGGAGGAGGATATTCACCACAACCCAATATCCCCCTTTCGGGCTCTACCCCAGGGATGCAGACACATGACCGTCTTGTATCCAGCCCCTCTCTGAGATGATCAGGCATGATAAGGTCTCACCTGGCAAGGTGTTGGGGAAGAGTATGGAGTATGAAGGTCAGGTCATCAAAAGGGGGCCATGAAGGGGTCCTAGAGACCTGGGGGAACCACTAACCAGCCAGGGTGCTCTTCTGGCCCCAGAAGATCTGATCAAAATCCTCCAGCTGGTTCCAGGTGCTCAGGAAGGTATAAACATTTTTGAGGACCATCTCCAGTGACCTAGGACAGATACCACAGCATGAACCAACTGGCTGATCCCTCCACCCCTCACCATTCACCACTATTCTTGGGTCTCCCACCCTTTATTCCCCTCTGGGCTCCAGGCTTTTCCTCACACTGCCTTCAGTGCCCATTCAAAGTCCAGTCTCTTCTCCTCGTGGAATCTCGTATTTGGAGGGAGATCATTCTCACGGCCTGCAGCTATTGTCAGGGGTAGCCCTTCCTTCCAGGTGGCCCAGCTAGGAGAGGATCACAAGGCTTCAGGGAGGGTGTTCAAGTCAGTGACTGGATAGGGTCAGGGAAGGGGGGGTGAACTTGGGGCTCCCATATGGGTGGGTTGTCACCAGTATGTTTGTTGTCTTTCTTTCAGTTCCTTCTCTCGATGTTTCTGGAATGCATCCAACACATTGTCTCCTGCCAGGCGGGCTGGGGAGACATTGAGACAACTGGCCACCATTTCGCATGGTCCTGTTCTCTCCCCTGCTTGTCCTCACCTTCCTTTCTATGTTCAGCCGTGCTCTGTTGCTGGCTGTCTCGGCTGTGCCTCATTTCACTGATTCCCCAGACACCTTTATCCCAACTTTGCACTCCTCACTTCATATATCTCAGCTCCCATTCCCTTTTCTTGCCCCTTAATTCATCTTTCCCTACCTGATCCTGTTTCATCAATATCTATGGCTGGATGAATCACCTTAATTAAGGTGATAAAATCTTAATCACCCCTATGCCCACACCTGTTTTCTACTTTATATTACTTTGGTGAATTTTCACTTCTTGAACCTCACCTGCCTTTCACTGCTTGAACCTTCAGCTGTCCTCAAAGTCCTGTTTGTTCACCTTTCTTAGACTTAACGTCAAAGTCTATATTTACTGGCTTTTTCCAGCCCTTATCAGTATTCATACACACTTGTATCAAAGTTGTATATCTCATGTTTCCATCCTTACTTGTTCTTGCCCTCATTTGTCCCTGTATTCACTATCTTATTTCCCACAGTAACGAATTCAGCATTTGCAGTCCTCACTCACCCCCACTCCAGTCAGTGTGCTCCCTGCCCTCCCGCTGTCGCCCATGTTTTTAGAGCTAAACCAGCTCTCTCTCCACGTCAGATCATTTATGGTTTCCCTTACCTGTCACCTCTCAGGAGTCACACCCACTATCTCCTATCTCATGTGCCAGCCTTACCTGTCCCTGCCCTAATTTGTTCCCAGTCACACGGAGATCTCTTTTCCACTTTCACTTCAGTTCTTCCATTTCCCAGCATCGCCACAACTCACAGTCCCTGTCCTCACCTTCATGGGGCATGGTGTCTGCACACCACTTATCTCCCTGTTCAGTCCCACTTCCAGCCTTTTTACCTCTATGTATAACTTTGGGACTTTAAAACATGCCCCTCATTTCCTATCTTTTCCATCCTTAACCTGTTGAGCATCCACTTTTTCAAGACCCTCGGACCTTCCTCAGTGCTATTGCCTGCCTCTCCCGCGCCCCAGTAAGTCCCGAGGCCCTGCACCCTCTCCCCTCAGGCCGCCACTCACCGGTGCCCTCGGGCAGGCTCAGAACACCCTCGCCCTGCACCCAGCGGTAGCACGGGAAGGTGGCCTCCGAGCTGGCTCCGGGGCCCTGCACCGTGATGCGGTCGCAGAACCACGCGTCGTCCACCAGGGAGTGATGTTTGCGCAACTTCACGAACTGGAGTGGCCCCAAGTCCTCGACAACATGGTGCTCAAACTCTTCCACCTGTGGGGACCGGAACACGGTGAGATTTAGTAGCGGGGACCCCGGAGAGGCCGTTTTACTGAGGGGCGGGAGTCCTTTGCGAAGTCCGGGGACGAGACCTCCAAAGACAGCATTTCTTCCTCCCAGCACCTGCGCAGTGGGTCTCAGACGCCCCATTGCACCGAGAGGACAAGGACCAGGGACGCGGGGTGAGACCCTCAGAGTCCTGAATTGAGAACTGAGCATGATCATCTACACCCGTCCACTAACAGCGCTCTCACTGCGCCCGCGGTTTCCGAGACCTTCTGTCTTTGACCCTTGATCCCAGAATAACACTGGACTGGGGTCAATTGGGGGGTGAGTGAGGACTGCGAGGACCACGGGCAGGGGAGGGAGAATGGTGTTGAGCCCCTTCTGGGCGTTGCCTCTGACCCTCTGCCGGCTCAGGCTCCTGCGCCCCTTCTCCCTGAAAGTCCCAGAGGGCGCGTTGGCGCTGTTATTTGCCCCCGTCCCAGCGTAAGGCCCAGCCAGGATCCGGGTCCCAGCTACCCTGGCTGACCTGGCCCCGCACTGGCCGCAGCTGCAGCCCCAGCTCCGCCTCCCCGCGCTCCCCGACCAGCCACAACTGCACCCGGTTGTGCGACCCGGAGAAGAACCAAGCCCCGGTGGCCACACGGACGCGGTAGCTGCCCATGGTGGTCCCCTAGTAACCAAGGCGAGGAGGAGCTGAGTCCTGCGATTCTCTGGACCGCCCAGGGCCGCAGGCGTGAGTCCAGGCGCCTTAGGGCCAGTTCGGGCCTTTAAAGATGAGTCTGGGTCCCCGCCCTCCTCACAACTTCCCGGCGCTCCCACTTCTCCGCCCCAAACTAGCCCCAACTTGCTAGCAGCTGAGCAGACTACGGGGAAGGGCCGCGCCTCCAGGTCAGAGCGTAGCTGTGGGAAGATGAAGGGGCCCTTGGTCTGGGTGAGGCCGAGACTGTGGCTGCCCCTGGGCTTCTCTAAACTTCCCGGCAACGCCTGGGGCCAAGAGCCTCGGGGTTGGAGTGAGCAAGGATGAGGACACATCCCCAGGTCTCCAGGCCTTCTGGAGAGCTAGGTGGGAGAGGGGGCGAGTCCGCCTTCCAGAGGGAAAGATTCCCTTTTCTGGGCTGGGACCTTGGGGAAGCAGTGGGCTGAGTTGGAGGGCCAACCCGGGAAGCTTCGCTGGGCTGCCAGACCTGCTATGGTCCAGTAAGTCTTTAGTTCCTAATTTCTACTGTATCTGAGCCCAGTCCTTAAGTAAGTGAATAGACGTTCCCAGGCTGCTTAGAACCTGGAAAAACAACAGCTCAAAGACTTGCTGCTCCCTGCCTGTTCCTAAACCTGGTTTCAACATCCTGGCATTAGGACAATAGTTACACCAGACATTGAGAGAGGCCTACCTGAGGCAGGCCAGTAAAGGCCTCCTTTTGTCCAACCTTGATAATGGATGCAGAGAATGTTAGGGACCTGGGTGTTAGGGTGCAGTGTGGAGTCACTTAGGGACCCAGCATTCATGGGCAATTCCCATGAACTTTGCCCTTTCCAAATAAATGCAGCCTTTCCCTCTCCATTATATGCCAGTTAAACATTTAGAATAGCCTCATTTTACTGACCGTGGTGCCTGCTTCCTCTACCAAAATCCGGTTTTCTTCTAAAAAATCGTATGTAAGCACTTTTTATCAGGCACAACGTTCCACTTCTTTCTTGTTCCCCCTCATCTTTATCCTGCTCAACCCCAGCTACTTCCTGGTCCTTTCACGGCACTCAGGGGAGGAAACCAGGGAACAGCCATGGGGCCAGTGCTGGTTAGGGACTTTGTAAACATTAGAAGGATGATTCAGGGCTCAGGCTTTGTCACTCACCCAGAAATCAGATGAAGCCTCCTGTACATTTCTCTCTAGATCTTGGTCCAACTCATCAGAAGCTTTTGGCTGACACTGAATGTGTTTGTGGCCTGGGCTAAGCCAGGGCAAGGTAAATCTGCTTTCCTGGGCCAAACCCTTAAAAATGACTTGGGCCCTAGCTAGTGTGGCTCAGTGGATAAGCACTGGCTCACACGCCGAAAGGTCACTGGTTCTGTTCCCTGTCAGGGCACTTGCCTGGACTGTGGGCCAGGTCCCTGGCTGGGGGCATGGAGAGGCAACTGATCAGTGCTTCTATTGCACAAGGAGGTTTCTCTCCCTCACTGTCTCCCTCCCTTCCCTACTCTTAAAAAAAAAAAAAAGAGAGACTTGACATGTTGGTTATTGGTGAGATTAAAAGGGATTCTAGTCCTGCCTTCCAGCCTCCAGACCTCACCAAGTGACAGATCCTTACTGGGTGCTCTTCCCCTTTTTATCTTTTAGGCCCACTCCTGCCTACACCCTCTGTGCTCAGAACTGGTGTCTGCCATATACTGGCCCCCAATTTCCTCCAGTTTTGGGGGGTGGGGAATCATCCTGTCCTATAATACCCAAATAGAATGGCTCACATTCCCGTCCTTTGAAGTAACTGAATTGGCCTCTCCACACACACCCTTTAGGGGTCACTTTTGCCTGGAAAAGAGAATTTTGTTTCAACCCTAGTTTCAAAATCAGTCCATAATCAGCCTGTTTCTCTGCTGGCGATACTTCTGGCCCCACTCTAGTGTACTGTGAGGTCACACGGCAGTGGGGGTGGGGATGAGTATTTAAGAACAATAATCCAAGCTACCATGTGAGCCAAATGAGTTCATGTTTAGAACACTTAGAACAATGCCTGGCACATAGTCTCTGTATGTATTAGCTGCTATTTTTCTATTATTTACAGAGTGGAAACAACTTCCATTTGAATGTCAGCATTGCTCCTAGAAATTCCTCTGCCCTTCCCCACCACACACTGTTTTCCATGTCCTTCCACAGGCCTCAGACTCCCACTAGGAGTCTTACTCCTCCAGACCCTTCCTACCACTTTTTCTCTGTTTCCTTTTTTCAAAAAGGTTTTATTTATTTAGTTACTTATTTTTAGAGGGAGGGGAAGGGAGGGAGAATGAGGGAGAGAAACATTGATATGTGGTTGCCTCTTGCACATGCCTTACTGTGGACCTGGCCAGCAACCCAGGCATGTGCCCTGACTGGGAATCCAACCAGTGACCCTTTGGTTTGCAGGCCAGTGCTCAATCCACTGAGCCACACCAGCCAGGGCTCTTTTTCCTTTTTAAGCATATGTATTATGTTGGGGGACAATAATTAAAAACAAATTTTCCTGACCTTGAAAAAACATCTCCACAAAGGTAGTAAAGAAAGAAAATCAATGTATTATTAAATAAGCACTAAACCAGTGTGATGTGTATTGTAGGCAATCCATTAAGAAATTGTAGAGACAGAGAAATCTCACCCTTTTATATAGCCAAGCAGATACAACCCATCACACACATGTTCTCAAGATAAACAATAACTGGTCCTCAGGTAAGAGGCTTGGTGCACCATTTATCATGCATAGTTTATTCTAACTTCACCTGGTAATTGGTGACTATTTGTGTTATCAGTAGGGTTACTCATAGGAAAAACAAAGTTCTTGTGTCTTTATGATGGACATAGTTTTGTACTTTGGAGCAAGGAGCCCATCTCAGGTAGACTCTTGTCCTCTCTCAGAAACTGGGAGACAGGGCTGCTCTCTCCCTTGATTTCAAAGAGATGGCTCCCAGGTCCTTGGGAAAAACATTCCTGGGTCACAAAGCTGCCAAGAAGCTTATTTACCTTGTAAAAAGATCTACACATGTTTCAAAGAGAAAGAACTTACAAGTTTTCTAAAGTAAATGCCCAAAGTAGAGGGAGAGTGGGGAGAAGTCTGTTTTCTTTCTTTTCTTTTTAGAAATTTTATATATATATATATTTTTTTTTTAAGATTTTATTTATCTTTAGAGAGGAAGGGAAGGAGAGAAGGAGAGAAATATCAATATATGGTTGCTTCTCGTGAGTCCCCTGCTGGGAACTGGCCTGCAACCCAGGCATGTGCCCTGACTGGGAATTGAACCGCATTCGTGTGGTTTGCAGGCCCGCACTCAATCCACTGAGCTACACCAGCCAGGGCCTAGAAATTATATTTTATTTATTATACTATTAGAGTTGTTTGATGCATGCACTGACCAGCAGTGCCCGTGGCATTATGGATGAGACATGAGACAAATTCACATGGACTACCGAGTCCTGTGGAGGAAAAGGGCCAGCACAGCTACTCCCTCAAGGGAGGAGAGCCTCCGAACGGCCTGGCCACCCTCTCAAGGGGAGAGTGGCTTGGAGTGGCCTGGCAACTCTGTCTCTAGGAGAGAGAGAGTACACTGCCCCTTGCCTAGACAGCCTTTTATTGTTGTTGTTGTTTTGTTGCACAGGAGTTCAGGTACAATTTATTAATCATTGTTAGGCAGTAAACAGTAGATAGTATACAAAGAACCATTAGGGCTTCTCCTAAGTCAGGGTCTGTCAGCTAAAAGACTACAGAACTTTGGGAACATAAACTCACTTTCTGCTCGGGCCTTTATCATTTAACTAAAAGCATTCTCAGCAATGCAGGTCTCACAGGATTGTTAAGAATTCTTTATCTTGCCAGTTTACCCAGGCCCTGCACTAGCCAGTGGAAGGTTGTACCATCTTCCCCATCACAGATCTTCAGGCTTAAGTAGATTAGAGCCAGGAAGTGCTTCTCCCAGAGGACATGGGGACTTGGGCTTCATCAAAGCCAGGAGGCAAGGGTCCATCACTCCCTCTTTGTCAAAACCGCCCCCCCCCAGTCCTTCCATGATGGCTTCCCAAGTGATCATGTCTGGCCTAGGTTGCCACTCCTCTGAGGGGTCTCACCTGTCTCTGACCATCCAATCATACTTTGGGGGCAGGCAGATGAAGCAGAGGCAGCGTTTGCTACCAGAGACAAGCTTTGTCTCTTTGTGGCTTGCATTCCAGAGGTTGCTCACTCAGCCTTAGACATGGGAGATGGTTTACAATTCCTGAAACCAGGCAGAGCAGTTCCCAACATCTACCCCTTTTTTTGTTTTTTTAAATCAATTGTAGCTGTTAGGCCTGTGAAACCTTCTATTTGCTATTTCTGAATGCAATCACAAGAAAACAACTTCCATATATATCATAAAGCACAAATAAAGATTAAGATAAGGAGGAGCCGAAGGGCTGCCATAACCCAAACTTGTAAATTCAGTCCCTTGAAAAATGTTACAAATGCAAGGGAATAACAAGAGTAACAGGTCTGGTTACAATTCAGTCTTTGAAAGAATTAGTACAGACTTCAGGAAGTTACTTTAAAGATATGCAGCAAGGGCTTGTGTCTGAACTCAGGGTGAGACAGTTTTAGTAAGAGTAAGTTACAAAGCATTATGAGAATCAGTAAACAACCAGTGGCTCCAGTGACTCACATTCTCAGCGTAAGTTCATTAAACCAATGTTTTGGGGTTCAGTTAGCTAAAATTGTCATAGAGGGTCTGAAAAACCTCCTGCTTGGTCAAGCATTGAACGTCCTGCAGCTGCTGATGTAGTTCTAGCTGCAATTTATCAACTTGTCCCTGTAAGTTGGTAGAAAAAGTCCCTCTTAGGTGATGTTGAATACCACTCCAGGAGAGCTGATTGGAATTCCACTTCAGGAGGATGACATACCGCTTGGAGAAAGTTTGGATTGAGGGAGTCCAATGAGTGGAGGCGGGTGGCAGCCAGGGAATCCTTTTCTGCGATATGTCTTCACC